GACCGTCAGCCGGAGAAGTAAGAGAAGTTCTGGGGAGAAGGAACTAAAGGGATCAGGGGTGGGGCTTTGCAGTGGAGGCTCTTTCACTCCATTCCTGGCTTAGTGCAGGTTTTTGCTCTTCCTCACCACTCAACTTTTCCAGCCCTGAAATGAGGATTGGTCTTGGTCCCCAATTAGACCTCGGGGTCTAATTTCGGGGTTTGGACACTACGGTGGGGATTGGGCAAAGATCACAGGTCCTTTTCTCCTTCCCCAGCCACCCGGAGGGAGTCCCCGAGGTGCCCTTGACTCCCGAGGCTGTGTCCGTAGAGCTGCGGCCGCTCATGCTATGGATGGCCAACACCACGGAGCTGCTGAGCTTTGTGCAGGAGAAGGTGCTGGAGATGGAGAAGGAGGCTGACCAGGAGGGTGAGCTCTGACCCAAGCCCAAGCCTGTCCAAGCCCCCTGTCATTCTTGCTGCTTGGGAACTTGGGCTCCTGCCTGTCAGCCTCCGGTTCTCTCTCTCACCCCCAGGTCTGTCCTCAGACCCACAGCTCTGCAATGACTTGGAATTATGTGATGAGGCCATGGCCCTCCTGGACGAGGTCATCATGTGTACCTTCCAGCAGTCTGTGTACTACCTCACCAAGGTTGGTCTCCTCCCCTGCTTCCTGTCTGACATAATCTCATTTCCGGTTGGAATTATGTCGGATTGCTCCTATGTCACTTCCCGTTTGACCTTGTAAGAGTCCCTGCTTCTCTGACATCACTTCCCATTCACCGAAGCACTTTGCTGTTCTGGTACCACTTCCTGTTTGAGCCTACATCACTTCCTGTCTTTCCGGCTTCTCTTCCTGTCTCTGCAACGATCCCCTCTTGACTGGCTAACTTTATTACCTATGGTTCTATCACCATTTTCACTTTTTTAAGCTCCTGTTTTCTAAGTCCACTGGTAAATTTAATAGGTGATCGATCGATAGGTAGATGATAGGACTCAAACAGTGTTGGACCCTGTCATTTAAATGAAAGGTCCTATTGAATCCGGCCTCACTTCCGGTGTTTGCTGACTTACTTCCTGCAGCTCTGAATTCACTCCCTTTTCCGAGCCACAGAGCTTCTTCCTGGAGTGCTAGTCCTGCAGGACTTTGCCCCAGTCCCCCACCACCCTTGACCTTAAGATGGTGTCTTGGAATTCTTGGGTTTCAGGCTTCTGGTGGGCCCGAGTCCCTATCTGTAACAGCAAAGGAGATCTTTGGGGAGAGTCCTTCTGTTCCTTAAGCAGCCTTGATTGGGGAAGCCCGTTCCTCCAACGCTTCGCCTCCTGTCCATCCCTGCCAAGTGTAGCTTTATTTCTTCTTTGCCTCTGACCTCATTTCCTGTCCTTAGCCTGATCTCACTTTCCACTGGCTCACTGCCATGCGACCCCCACTTCTTGACTCTTCATTTTTTCTTTCCTTCGGGAACTCTGGGCTGTCTCTGTTGAGAATCACAAGTCCTATGATGTACGAGAGGTGGTCTTAAAATTCCCAAGAAACTCTGGGAGGCTTTCTTAAGACTTGAGGTGTCCTTGGCCTGATGAATGCTAGATGCCCATCTGGAAAGTAGGGATTTGCTCACAAAGAACCTTTAGCGTGTTGCAGGTAGAATGGACTAGAATTCCCAGAAGCTCTGTCACCCTGAAACTTCCAGGAAGTGCAGTCCAATCACTTGTTTTCATCTCTGTGTGTTCTTAGACTCTGTATTCAACCCTGCCGGCTCTCCTGGATAGTAACCCTTTCACAGCTGGGGCAGAGCTGCCAGGGCCTGGCGCAGACCTGGGGGCCATGCCTCCAGGCTTGAGACCTACCCTGGGCGTGTTCCAGGCGGCCCTGGAACTGACCAGCCAGTGTGAGCTGCACCCGGACCTTGTGTCTCAGACTTTCGGTTACTTGTTCTTCTTCTCCAATGCATCCCTTCTCAACTCGCTGATGGAACGAGGTGAGGGTTGGACTGGGGAAGGGCTGGGGAGTAAAGCATGGGAACCTCTGAGACCCATCAAATCAGACACCACGCCGCAGGATCCGGCCTCATGTTTAGGGACTCTGGAGAGCGAGCTCCAGATCCCAAGCTGAAGGATAGGAAGGATCTGGGAGGTGGGAGGGCCAGGTCCACACACCCATTGCCTTTCATACTCTTCCCCACAGGTCAAGGTCGACCTTTCTATCAATGGTCCCGAGCCGTCCAAATCCGAACGAACTTGGACCTTGTCTTGGACTGGCTGCAGGGGGCTGGGCTGGGTGACATTGCCACTGAATTCTTCCGGAAACTCTCGATAGCTGTGAACCTCCTTTGCGTGCCCCGCACCTCCCTTCTCAAGGTGACTGCTGATCTGACTTCTTGATTCCTCCACCCCACTCAGCCATCATCTGTTTTCAGCTCACCCTTGGACCTCCCCTTGGACTTTGTGTTATCCCTGGTGCCAGCTCTGACACTGTGGGTGATGCATCAACAGTAGAAGGAAATCAGCCACAAGTGTCCCAACTGCATCTGAATTCCATGGGACTTACTAATGCTAGTTTCCAAGGCCCCCCATGCTCAGACATGCTGATTCAGAAAATCTGCTCTGAGACCAAGGAATGTGATAGTTAAATCATGCATAGAACATAAACAACACACCAGACACTGTCTAGCGCTTCACACCAAATGTTGACTAAGCCTCATGAAATAGGTTATTAACTGACAATTCATTTCAGACAAGGAAACTGAGAATCAGGTAGAATAAGTGACTTGATTTCATTTATTTATATTTACCAAACTTTTACAGAGCATTCGATAAGCACCAGGCAGTGTCCGAAGCACTTTGCAATCTTGCCTTATTGAATCCTCGGAACCACCCCGTTAGATAGTCGCTATTCCTGCCCACACCCAATTGACAGATGTAGAAAGTGAGGCACAGTGACTTGCCAGAAGGTAATGAGTAGTCAAGCTGGGATTTTTGGACCCAGGCAATCTGGGTCCCCAGCGTTTGGGTTTTACCCCAGTGATGATTCAGATGTCATCTCAGTTGGGTGTAGAAATATTCAGATACAAAAGGCAGCCACAGTACAGTAACGAAGGCTTCAGTACATGTCATCAGCTTCAGTAATACAAACTAATGGCCAATTTTGTTCTTCTCCACCCTCCCCACCAACGCCTACATCCTCATCTATGCAGAAGGAAATCACTTAAAAAAAAAAGAAAGATTTTATTTATTTATTTGACAGAGAAAGAGAGAGGAAGCAAAAGCACACAGCAGGGGGAGCTGCAGGCAGAGGGAGAGGGAGAAGCAGGTTGCCCCCTGAGCCAGGAGCCCAATGCGGGGCTTGATCCCAGGACCCTGGGACCTTGACTTGAACAGACGACAGACCTGAGCCACCCAGGCGCCCCAAATCACATTTTATTTAAAGTGCCCTTTCCCACTGAAAGCACCCTTTCCCACTGTCACTTTGGCTGACAGCCTGGCCTCACAGTGTCTGGAAGATATCGCACAGACACCACAATCTACCCACCACATCCATGCCCTTTATGGAGGGCCTTCCATTTTAGGATTTCTCAGCTGCCCAATAATGACCATAGATTTCTCACCTGATCTTCCCACCAGGCTTCATGGAGCAGCCTACGAACTGACCACCCCACACTGACCCCTGCTCAGCTCCACCATCTGCTCAGCCACTACCAGCTGGGTCCTGGCCGTGGGCCACCACCTGCCTGGGACCCTCCCCCTGCAGAACGAGATGCTGTGGACACAGGTGAGGAGAGATGGGGACAGAGGCACTGGAGCTGTCAGCGTTTTTTTGTTTTTGTTTTTGTTTTTCCTTGGTCTCAGGACCCAGGAATCCATAGCGCCAGCCCCTTCCTCCTTCTGACCCAGGATTCTGGACCCTTAACCCTCTTCTCCATCAAGACTTAAGTGATGGACCCCAGCACCCTCCTCCCCCAGGGTATATAAGTTCAACCCCTAGATTCTTTTTTCCCCAGGGTTCAGGGCCTCAGCCTTTTCCCCCGACAACCTTCCCTCCTCACCCAGGAGTTCAGGTTCCAGTCCCCTCCATTCTAAGGAATCCGTAAAACTAAGTTCCCAGACCTTCCTTCCTTATGCATCTAAGAACCCAATACCTCGTCCGTTTCCCGAGCAACGGTGGCCTTTCTCTCTCTGAAACTACAACTCCCATGATGCTTGAGGACTCCCGAGAGTCCTGGTTGCGTGGATCCAGCTCTAGGAATTGCTGGGGTTTCGAAGTTTTTCCTTCCTTCGGGCGTGACACAGCCTCTCCCCAACACTGCTGCCCCACGCCCATTTTCAGAGTTTGACTCCGTCTTCTTCGGTCTCTTAGGGGACATCTTCGAAAGCTTCTCTTCCCATCCTCCACTCATCCTGCCCTTGGGCAGCTCGCGCCTGCGCCTCACGGGTCCTGTGACGGACGACGCCCTACACCGTGAACTGCGCAGGCTCCGCCGCCTCCTCTGGGATCTTGAGCAGCAGGAACTGCCGGCCAATCACCGCCACGGACCTCCCGTGGCCACGCCTCCTTGAAAGCCAATAACAAACGAGCGCGCGAACCTTGAAAAATTCTTCAGCTGCTACTACCCGGAGCCCGCCTGAGCTCAGAGCTCTCTGGGAGTTGTAGTTCTTTCCCCGCGTGGGATGCCGGGAGTTTGAGTTTTCGGGTAGCAGAGGTTGGGACAATGGGAAGATGGGCTTGGGATGTGAGCGCAAGGAGCAATAAAGGTATCTGTGGTATTGGCAACGCCTCACTTGTAAGACTCGGGAACGCTGGTGATGATCATTTTCTGCGGATTAGAGCACCAGGGTCCTCGACTAGAGTGTTGGGTTCTTGCCGAGTCCGAGGAGGTATTTATAGCCTCGGCCTCAGCTTGCCCTGCTGTGTGTAATCCAAACCCGGAGCCCTGGGGCCTCCCACGCATTTCAGGACAGAGCTCTAAGCTTGGTCTGCCAGATATCAGGCCCTCAGTCCTGCCGGAGGGAACCAGACTTCCTCCGACCCCAAAGACTATAGTCCAGCCCTCTTCTCCCTCAGACCCAGGAGTCCGGGTCCCCAGCCCCCCCATGGACATTTCTGCCTGTCGGGCACACTGCCGAATCCCAACACCTCTCGTCCTTGTGCTGGCATCCCTCCTTCCTCACATCCGGAAGTTCGGGCCCCCACCCAACTCCTCCCTCAGACCCGGGACTCCAGGTCCCCAGCCCCCTCCTCCCTCGGATCCAGGAGTTCGGGGCTCCAGTTTGAACTTTCCACTCCCCTAAATCCGACTCCTGCTGCTGCGTCAGGGAAAAAATAAGCGACAGGTGGCACCTGCCCGCAAGCCTGGGTCGCGACCACCTGCTCCCGCTGCTCAACCGGCGCCCCTCTCCAGGCACCTGCTTCTGTCAGTCCGCCCGCCGCTGCCCCGCCCGACCCCGCAGCCCCAGGACGCGGAGGAGGAGCGACCCAGGGAACCCCGACGTTCGCCCCGCCCCAGTCCCTCCCAGCCCGTGCTCCCGCCCCTTCTCAGGGTCCCAGGCGGGTCTCGTGTCTCCCCCACCCCGCCCCGCCCCATTCCACAGGCTCCTGGCACGCCCTAGAAAGGGGTGTCCTAGGCGGTCCCAGGCTGGTGGGGCGGACCCTGCGGCCTGCAGCCTAGACCGGGGGACTCAACCCGCTCCAGAGCACTGCTGCGCCGAGCTCACCTGGTGAGAAGCCCCTGGGATGGGGGTGGGGGGATCCCACCTTAACTCTTCTGTCACCTCTCTGGTCCCAGTCCCTTCCTCACAGACCATGGTGGCTGACACCCACCCACGCAGGTGGCAAAGACCCTTCCCATTCCGCAGGAACGTACCAGGTCCCTTTCCCTTCTTGATCAAGGGTGTTGGATTCTAGTACCTTCAGAATATTGAGCTGTGCCTTCACCCCGTGGGTGAAGGGTCTCCCTTCATAGATCCCAGTATTTCCTCCCCCAGGCTCCAGGAATTGGGGCCCTCAACCAGGATTCCGGGCTCCCAGGCCCTCCTCCCCCAAGTTCTGACTCAAGGCCTCTCCTATCCCTAAGCCCCCAAGGCCCTTTCCCTGCTGTCTTCACATGGAGGGACAGCCTCCTAACCTCCACTCTGACCCTCCTCCCATGGGGGCCCTGTCCTCCCCTCAGTCCAGGTCCCCATCACAGACTTGGCAATGACTCTCGTGACTTCCTCTCAGCGCTCCCAAATCATTCGTTCCAAGTTCAGATCTGGTGAGAGCCTTCTCTCTATGTATACAGGGAAGGGGTCTTCTGGGGTCCTGGGACTGAAATACTCCTGGGTAATGTGTGTGGTAGGAGAGGTGGGAGGGGGTCTGTGGGACCCACAAGGCGAGTGTTTTCTGGGCAAAAGGTCATTTGTGTATAAAAGAGGCCCAAGCAAAGGGGCTGAGTTTTGGGGGCTCAAGGAGGGTGCAAATGGCCAACGCGATGTTCCTGTAAACAGTGAGGAGTGGGTGTCTAGGGGCGGGTTTGCAGATCAGGTATTGTAAAGGAGCAGGGGCTTAAATGGACATGCATGCCAAGAGGAGGAGTGCACAGAGTGGGGACTTTGGAGTGGGCAGTGTGGGAGTGTTGCTGAGGGGACAGTGCACTGTAGCAAACCTTGAGCGTGCAAAGGTTGTATTTTAGGTCCCAATGCAGACCGGAAGCGTGCAAGGGAGTGTGGCACTGGATATCAGTTCCTCAGTAGGCCAAGGGCATACGAGCATGCAAATGGATATGCTGGGTGGGTACAAAGACACCAGTCCCCAAAGTACAAGGAGTGTGCCAGACAGTGCGCGTGCAATGTGCCCAGAGAGACCCCTGCTCCAGAACCGGAAGCCAAATCCTGGATGTGCAAAGAGGTGTCAGTAAGGCTGGGTGGGTGCCAAGGCAGAGTGAGCCAAGGAGGAAGTATGTGCAAGTGCCCCAGAGTGGCTCGGGTCCCAGACCAGAGCCCAGGGAGATGCGTGTGCAGAGGGAGTGAGTGTGGGGAGGCCCCAGGGCTACACAGAAGGAAGCAGGCTTGTGCAAACGGGAGTGCATGGACGAGAAGAGGTGAGGTGCCCACAGGTCGGGCTGCCAAGATGGCGATCATGCCTTGGATGGGGGTGGGCACATGCTCACGAAGGGGGCAGGTGGAGCTGGGGGCAGGGCTGGCTCCTGGTTCCAGAACAGCTCTGGCAGGGAGCAGGGAGCAGGCGGGAGGCCCGGGAGAGGGAACAGGCTGCCGGCCCACCCGCCTGCATGGGGTGTGTAAGGGGGCTGGGCATGCAGGTCCTGCCAACTGCAGCTCACACGGCCTGCCAGCCCAGGCTCCTGGACACTCCCTTCCCGCCTTTCTCCTCCCACCCCCTCCTCCCTCCATAGTCCTTCAGCTTCGGATCCACAGACGGTATCAGGACCCAAGTAAGTGTGGGCCCTGCGAAGGAGGGGATGGATGGATGGAGACCCACCACGGGGTGGGGGGGATGCCTGGGAGTGCAGCTGCCAGATGTCAGGCACTGATTCCCGAGCCCCAGCTCCTATACCAGGGATACCCCTAAGTCTGATCCTGTCCCTTCCCGAGGACCCCAGAGTACAGGTTCCTGGCTCCCCCACCCCCCTCATAGCTCTGCTTCCTTCTCTATGACTTTTCCCACTCCGACGATATACATGAGTCCAGATCCCGTTTCCTTGGAGAGGACAGGCATCCCAGACTCCACACTTGGCATGCACTCGAATCTCAGGATGTGGCTTTCGGCTTCTCCCGAGTGCTGGCCGCACAGCTGCTCCAGCAGAAACCCCAAAATCTGTTGATCCTCAGCCACCACACCCCTTAGTGACTGAGGACATGATTCCTGCCTTTCTGGAGAATATAAAATTCTGGAACCTCTGCCCTGAGATCCAGGAGTCTGGGCACCCACCTCCTAATGCTGGGTTTCCCTCCCACATTGGGGGAGGAGAGTTGGCGGGGTGAGGGGAGGATGGGGGGTGGCTGAGGCCTCCAGGGCCCTCCTTTCCATACAGTGTTATCCCTCCCTGCCCGGCTTCCTGTCTACAGGCCTTTCCGGGTCCTTCACTGCCCCTCCAGTCTTGGATCCAGATCCCTGGGTCTCAGCCACAGACCCCGCTCTGGCTCCTCGAGCTCCAGCCCCAGTCTCCTGCAGGGGCCCCAGCCCTTTCCTCTTCAGCCCTGGGGACCTGCTTCTTGAATCAGAATACTGCCCTTGGAGGTCCCTGAAGGTGAGTCTCCAATGAGTGAGGAGAAGTACCCCGGAGAGTCTAGCTAGCATTGGTCGTCCTTGCCGTTGCCCTCTTGGCTTCTTTCTGGTGATGCCAAGCGGACGCCATGCTTTGCCTGGCTCTCTGAGGCAGGACAGTGGGGCCAGAGCTGAAGCATATGACATCACACCCACTTTTTCAGGAGTCCCCCAAGATCTCCCAACATTGGAGAGAGCCCAAGCCAAAGGGGAACTTGACCTACCACCAGTACATGCCCCCCGGGCGGAGACAGGGGTCCAGGGTAAACCCCCAGGCCAAAGGGTTGGCCCTGGGTCCCCTAGGACCACCTCTATGGGAAGGGACAAAGTCACAGCAGCCACCTCCCAGGTATGATCCCTGGTTTTGTTCTCTGGGGGAAAATTCAGGCTCCCCATCCTCCTCCCTCAAACCCAGAGTCCAAGAGCAGGGGAGTCCAGCCCCCAAACCCTTTCTCCCCCACGATTCGAAAGTCCAAGTTCCCAGTCCCTCTTCCTTCAGTTCCCCGGGAGTCCTGGCTTCAAACCCAAGAGATTGCCCATGCACAGGAATTAGCCTCTCTCTCTCTCTTTTTTTTTTTAAAAGATTTTATTTATTTATTTGACAGAGAGAGAGATCACAAGTAGGCAGAGAGTCAGGGGGAAGCAGGCTCCCCGCTCAGCAGGGGTGCTGAGGCAGATGTGGGGCTCGATCCCAGGACCCCGATGGCACGACCTGAGCCAAAGGCAGTGGCTTAATCCACTGAACCACCCAGGTGCCCCAGGAATTAGCCTCTCTTTCCTCTTCACAAGCCCCTGCCTTTGAGGACCCTGGAATGCCCCGTCTCTCTCCACCCCCTTTAACCTCTGATTCCCCCCTCACGACTACGCCAGGATGAAGCCCACTGCCCTCACTCCCTCCCCACCTGGAGTCCCCAGCCCCTTGCCCCCTCCACACAAGTTGGAACTCCAGACCCTTAAGCTGGAGGAGCTGACGGTGAGTGTGGGGAATAACTTCCCAGGCTGGCCCTCTCCCTCGGTGGGTACCCACAGTTCTAACCCCGCAGCCTCTGCCCCATCGGAGACCCAGGAGCCTGGATGCCCAGTCCCTGGTTTCCAAATGTCAGCCCCAGCTCCCGCCTGCGCCCCGGAGCCCTCCCAGCAAGGCCTCTTCCGCCCCCCACCCCAGGTCTCAGAGCTCCGGCAGCAGCTGCGCCTTCGGGGCCTCCCTGTGTCGGGGACTAAGTCGATGCTCCTGGAGCGCATGCGCAGCGGCGCCCTGCCCCGCGAGCGGCCGAAGCCGCGGCGCGAGGACCGTCCAGCGGACGCTCCCTGGCCGCGCCTCAGGCCCAAGGCTCTGGGAGCCGTCCGGAGGCAGGGCTCGGTGAGGGCGGGGCTACGCGCGTATGGACCAGTGAGGAGAAGACAAAGCGGGACGGGGCGGGAAGTCGATAGAAGGATAGCCAATGAGGTGCGGGGGGCGTGGCTAAGAGCCAAATGGGAGGATCATAAGGGAAGAGAACCCAATGAAAGAATACTGGGCGATGCCGGAGGGGGGCGGTCGACCAGCCAGCGGAGGGCTCGGAGGAGACCAGGGGGTGGAGCCACAGCTGCGAATGGGTGGGGTTGCTCCCGGTGGGCGTGGCTTATGGGAACTCTTCGCGGTTCTAGCTCAAGCCAAGCGCAAACTCTCACGCTCCGCCTCCTGCACGTGCCCCGGAAACCCCTGCTACCGCTGCGGGTCCGACTCCCGCTCCGGCTCCGGCCTCGGCTCCGGCTCCGGCTCCGGCTCCGGCTCCGCTTCCGGCTGCGGCTCCGGCTGCGGCTCCAGCACCGACTCCTCCCGCCTCACTGCCCACAGCGGCCCTGACGCTGGAGGAGGAGCTGCAGGAAGCCATCCGCAGGGCGCAGGTGAGCGAGAGCGGGCCAGGGGTCTCGGTCAGGATGGGACGGGATCCCGGGCTCACGCCGCTTCTGCCCATCTGCAGTTGCTTCCGAACCGGGGCATTGATGACATCCTGGAGGATCAGGTGGAGCCTGAGGGTAAGAGTCGAACTCCTAGATTTGGGGGAGGAGGAGGCTGAGGTTCTGGAGTCCTAGGGCACGGGAGGAAGGAGTTAGGGTCTAGAGTCCTGGGTTCTAGGGAGGAGTGGGCTGGGGACTTGGATTTCTGGAAACAAGTGGGGTCCGGATCTCTACCTTCCTAAGCTCACACTCCATCCCTTCTCCTGCAGACCCGCTGCCCCCCATCCCGTTGGACTTCCCAGGCTCCTTCGACGTGCTGTCCTCCTCCCCGGATCCTGAAGACCTCTCATCTGTCTTCTCTTCCTCGCTTCCGTCCCCCACAAACTCCCCGTCCCCCTCTCCCAGGGGCCCCACAGACTCCTTGGACTGGCTGGAGGCTCTGAGTGGGGGTCCCCTGCTAGGCTGTGGCCCCCCAGCCCCCAGCATCTTCTCTGCTGACTTATCTGACTCCAGTGGAACCCGGCTGTGGGACCTGCTGGCGGATCCATGGTGATGGGTGCTGTGGTTTCCAGGGATGGAGAACTGGTGGGGATGGGAAGTCACTGAGACAGACTCTCAAAGGAGGGGGTCGGACAACCGGCAGAGCCCCTCCCACCACAGACACAGAATCAGAGCCACCTCTCATCCTCACCGGGCGCCCCCCAACCGCTGCTGACATGCTAACCGCCTGACTTTCCCCTGCCTGACCTCCATGTGATCCCCTCCATGGTTGTGTGGTTGGGGACCGTGACGTGTCATTTGCTGCTGGCCAGAGCAAACAAGCTGCCTGCTGCTTCCTTCAGAGACCTCCTGGATGTTTTTGTTCCCTAGTGCTGCCAACTAGATGGGAGTCTGGAAGGTGGTCTGTATTTTTTGGGTGCAGGAGAGAAGGCTCACTCACAATTTCATGGGTTGACCAGTTCAGCAAGGTGATTCTCCAGCATCATATGTCTAGGGCTGCAGTCGCGTAGGGTCCAAGAGGGCTGGACCGTTCAAGATGGCTCAGACGTGGCTGGCTCCTTGGCAGGAATGGCTAATAGGCTGGAGCCAGATGGGCTGTGGTCTCTCAGACAGGGTAGCTGGGTTCCCTACACAGTAGCTCAGGGTCTCCAAAGCAAGCATTACTCTTGATGGGAGCAGAAGCTGCCAGTGTCATAAAGACCGAGCTTGGGACTGGTCCTGTGTCACGTTCACTACACTCCATTTGCTAATGCAAGTTGGGCTGGCGGGTTATGCGAGGGGGGGGCTACACAGATGTATGCGTCTTGGAGGCATGGTCATTGGGGACCATATTTGGAGACTCCACTACACCCCTCTGGTCAGTTTGAGGCCGTGGGTCATGAGGAGAGGGTGGGGCGTAGACTGCTGGGCACCTTGAACCCCAGGGCATTCCTGGGAGGAAGGTCACAGAGGAAGCCCTTAGCAGCAAAATCTTGTAAAATGTACGTTTTATTATTATTCAGGTGTGGGGAAGCCAATGGATCGGAATGACCGCCATGGAAAAGATCCTTGGTTGGGGCACCTGGGTGACTCAGTCGGTTTGGGGGCAGACTCTAGATCTCAGCTCAGGTCTCGATCTCAGGGTCGTGAGTTCAAGCTCTGCATTGGGCTCCATGCTGGATGTGGAGCCTACTTTAACAACAACAACAAAAAAGGATAGTTTGTTATTCTCACAGATCCCCAAAGAAGGGGGTGTGGAAGCCATGCATGGCCACATGGGGAGGTGCCACTGTTGGTCAGGAGGCGAGAGGGGGAGAGGGGAGCCCGGAGCAAGAGCCTTTGTTGTGGTTTCCCGGCAAAAGAACAGAGGAGACAGGGTAAGCTGGCTTAAGATTGTCTAGAGTGCATGATTTCAGCTGGCTCAGGGGTGTAGGGACCATCCCTAGTTGTCTGGAACGTGGTCCTGGGGTGATGAAGCAGAGTAATCATGGTCCAGAGTACAGGAGCTCATAAAGGAAGTGGTTGGGGGTCTGGGCTCTGGATTGGTTGATTTGCACATGCAAATCATGCTCCTGGGAGAGTCCTTTATTATCCTTGGAATAGGCTAGCCCTGGGAAGGGCCATCCCTCCAGATGTCAAAGCACCAGAAATATGGGAAATAAAAAGCCATAATGAATGCAAGAGAGCACACAGAGGATGGGGGAGCTGGGTGCCCAGAGTCAGGAAGAGGGATCTAGTTCTGAGGGGAACTGTGCCCTCAGAGTTGGAAAAACAGAGCCTCGGTCTCTGCTCTGGTGAAGCTCGAACATTTGCACAGAGAAAATTCCAGCGCTGGGTGACAGGTATTCTCACGGTGGTGGAGCCATGACTCCTAGAAAGTACCAGAAGCTGTGGGGAACCGAGAGGGTGGTCAGAGGAACGGCCTGGGGAACCTTGTGAGGCCAGGGCTGCTGGAACAAAAGGGAGGTGGCGTGGCTGCCATGGCTGCCTCAATTTGGGGCTGGAGGCAGGTGGCAGCTGGGGCTTGTGGGCACCTTCCTATCAGGCTGAAAATTATTGGTAAAGGGGCGCCATCAGCGCTGGAAAGATCAGGAAGGGGTGTGGTGGGGCTTCTGTCTGTCTCCGTCTTGGCCTGACTCTGAGCTTGTGACTCTCCCCCTGTCTCCTGTGTCCAGGGGAGGAGGGCAGCTCCAGAGGGAGTCGGGGCAAGGGGTGGTGGCTAAGGAATTTTCCAGTAGGGGGAGATTTGAAAGATGTGCACAGGCTTGGGTACAGGGTACATGTTTGAAGCCAGCGCTGGAAAGGACGTGGCCTCTATACTCCCCACCACCAGTCACCCAACCCTTCACACATTCTGGTTGCTCCTTCTGGTGCCCCGGGGAGAGGACTGCACTACACCCCAGGGTTGGACCGAAGGGGGACACAGGAAGATGGGGAGCACCACATTGCCGTCCCATGAGCTCAGTGGACACATGAAAAAGACCAAGAATATATTTGAAAAATGACCAAAATTATCAATTTCCTTTCTTTTTTATCATTTTTTATTTTTTTAAAGATTTTATTTATTTGACAGAGAGAGATCACAAGTAGACGGAGAGGCAGGCAGAGAGAGAGAGAGAGAGAGAGAGGGAACCAGGCTCCCTGCTGAGCAGAGAGCCTGATGCGGGACTCGATCCCAGGACCCTGAGATCATGACCCAAGCCGAAGGCAGCAGCTTAACCCACTGAGCCACCCAGGCGCCCCTCTTTTTTTTTTTTTTTTAAGATTGTATTTATTTACTTGAGAGAGAGAGAGCGAGCATAGAAGGAGAGGGAGAAGCAGGCTCCCCATCGAGCAGGGAGCCCAACGTGGGGTTCAATCCCAGAACTGCAGGATCACGACCCCAGCCAAAAGCAGCCGCTTAACCCACTGAGCCACCCAGGAGCCCCTACCCATTTGTCTTACAGACATAATCTCCAGAAGGACACGTTGAGGAGACTGGAGAATATACTCATTTTTCTATTTCTCTTCCTCCCCTGCCCCTCCCCATTTCTCCCTCCACCCCTGTCTTTCCCTTCCTCCTCAGTCTATGTTACCATGCACCCCGCTCTGCTGCTGCTCCCAGTCGCTGATTTCCATTCCATTATTTTCCCTCTCTGCACCTCCAGGGTGTCATCCCCCCTAGCATCCAACTCCACCAGACACCCCAAGACAATCCCCCATCCACCATCATTGAGTGCAGCCCCATTACAGAGTGTGAATTTCCCTGGGGGAAACACCCCCAGGGACAGATGACACAGGGGCTGGTGGCATGGCAACCGAGAGTCTCCTCTCCTGGTCCAGATGGAGCTGGGTGGACGCATCTCTCCATCACGCTCCATGGCCTAGGGTGACCCATTTAACCTCCCTGGGCCTTAGTTTTCTCATCTTGATAATGGGGACAAGAGCAATAGTACCTTCTCCACGCGGTCGGCTGAGGATTGAATGAGTTCATGTGTGCAGAGCGCTTAGAACCGCACCTGGCGTGGGACACCCTCATGAGGCGTCAGCCGTTGTCACCGCCCCCCTGGGGTGGATTGCCTTCCATTCCTCTATCACATGGCTGCCCCCACGGGGGCCATGCACGAGGCTTCACCTGCCTTGATGTCGTCCCCTTTTTCATCCCCAGTCTGTTGGGCTGTTACCTCTTCTGAACCTCAAGTCTTGTTTATCCCTTGGGGTGGGTGATAGGGGACTTCCAGACCCCAGACAGCCTGGTGGTGAGGACCCCAGAGCCAGGGTAGGGACGGAGCAGGTGGCTAAACTGGGGGGAAAATAGGCAAATGGGAGTCTTGAGCCTGCACTCCCTGGGGGGGGGACAGGCCTCTCTCCTCCCCTTGGGATCTGGAAACCAAATTTGGGGCCAATCCTGCGTTCAGACTTTGAGCCCAGCCCCTGCCTGGTGGGGGACCCCAGAAAAGCCCATTCTCCTCTGTGCCCTCATAGAAGACCTCACTCCTATGTATTTTCCCAAGAGATATAATAACATGCCTACACAAAGATATATGGGCCAATGTTCATGAGAGTATAGCCCCAAACTGGAAATAACCCAAGTATCCACCGAATGGAGGAACAGATCAAAAGCCTGTGAAAAGGTGATGAATGATTGAAACTTGTGAGAACGTGAATGAATCTCAGATATGTGATGTTAGACATGCCTGGGTGTCTAGACACATCGGGCTCCCCACTCAGTGGGGAGCCTGCTTCTCCCTCTCCCTCTGCTATTCCCCCTGCTTGTGCTCTCTTGCTCTGCTCTAATAAATAAAATCTTAAAAAAAAATTAAAAAGGACACAGACCTATTGGATTAGGGCCCCCCTAATGATCTTGACTACATTTTAAAAAACCCTATTTCTGAATAAGTTGCATTGACAGGTCCTGGGGCTCAGGCCTTCAACATAATCCCTTCTGGGAGGCAAAATTCAGTTCCTAACAGGGGCAGCTCTAAGCAGACAAACCAGCCTCGGGTTCTTTTTTTTTTTTTTTTCTTTAAAGCTTTTATTTATTCATTTGGCAGAGATCACAAGTAGGCAGAGAGGCAGGCAGAGAGAGAGGGGGAAGCAGGCTCCCCGCTGAGCAGAGAGCCTGATGTGGGCTCGATCCCAGGACCCTGAGATCATGACCTGGGCCGAAGGCAGAGGCTTAACCTGCTAAGCCACCCAGGTGCCCCTCTTTTTTTTTTAAGATTTTATTTATTTATTTATTTATTTATTTAAGGATTTTAAATTTATTTGACAGAGAGAGATCACAAGTAGGCAGAGAGGGAGAGAGAGAGAGGGAGCAGGAAGCAGGCTCCCTGCCTAGCAGAAAGCCCGATGCAGGACTCAATCCCAGGACTCTGGGATCATGACCTGAGCAGAAGGCAGAGGCTTTAACCCACGGAGCCACCCAGGAGCCCCGATCTGTCTATCTTTTATGCCAGTACAACTTTGTCAAGATAACTTTAGCTTTATGGTGAATTTGGAAATCTGGTCATCTCATGGGTCTCTTCGCCTCACTTCCACCATGACCTCACTGGTCCACCATCATTGCTTGCTGGTAGTGAAAATCAAACCCATTCTTCAAGGCATATCTTCAATATAGTCTTCACATCGTAGCTTTCTTGGCACCGTGATACAGAATTACACACACACACACACACACACACACACACACACTTTTTATTTTTTAAGTAGGCTTGAACTCATGACCCCAAGATCAAGAGTTGCACGCGCTACCAACTGAGCCAGCCAGGAACCCCTTAGTATGCTTTGAAAGAGACTTTTGTAGGTGTCCAGGCAAAGGTGGTGGTGACTTGGATAGAGTGGTGATGGTAGAGGAAGGAAAGGTCCAATTCAGGATATATTTTGAAGGGAAAGCCAGCAGAACTTGCCGGTGGATGGAATGTAAGAGCAAGAATCTAGAGTGAGTTAAGTTTTTAGTGGAAGTGAATGGGTAGTGCCACTTACTGAGACGGGGATGGGCGGGGGAAGCTCTGGGTGGTTAGAGTTACGGGGAGATGGTGTCATGACCATCTTTGGAAATGACTGCCAATCATGATGTTGTTTTAACCGAGGACCATGAATATGTGTCCCCCAATACATTTAAAATGTACATTAAAAGAGAGAATGCCAAATGTATAGACAAAATAATTAAGGATTTATTTATTTTTGAAATAGCAAACCCTGGTCCAGCAAGCATCACCCCATTCCAGATGTATAAAATCCCATGGGGGGCACCTGACTGGCTCAGTGGGTACAACATTGACCCTTGTTCTCGGGGTCATGAGTTCATGAGTTCATATTGGGCATGGAGCCTACTTAAAAAAAATAAAATAAAAAAATAAATAGAAAATCTAAATTCGGACCGGAAATTTGAATGAGTTAAATAGAGTTACTGAGGCAGAGACCTATCAGCACAACGGGTACTGTGGCACCATTCTGTGGGTACTAAGCCAAAAGGAAAGGGCTCCAAGAGAACCATGTGGAGAGACTGTGGGGCCTGCAAGATGTGAGGTGGCCGTCAGAGCGCAAATATTCTGCGGTAGGAGGATGGGTCGTTCTTGACATTGGGTGTGACCGCTTGACTTGCTTCAGCCACTGAAACACGAGTGGCAAACTTTTTTTCTCCCATATGCTCAATTTCAGAGCATCTTCCCAATCCTTATGTTCCTTCTTACATTTTTATTTAGTTTTTTTCTTAATTAATTGATTATTTATTTGAGAGAGAGCGTGAGCACAGAGGGAGAAGGAGAAGCAGAGTCCCTGCCAAGCAGAGAACCCGATGTGGGGCTTGATCCCAGGACCCTGAGATCATGACCGGAGCAGAAGGCAGAACTGAGCCCCCCACCCATCCCCCAGTCCTAATATTCTTTAATTACCTTCCTTTCAAACCAACTCCGCACGGCCTCAGGTCATTGGCCCATGGTGAATGCTTGACTCAAACAGCATTCTGATTGAGGCATCAAGATCTTTCAAGATTGTCAGACTGGCAGAGACACTAGGAGTATCTGCTGAGCCCTTGAAATGAGACCTCCTTGGCCCACCACTACTTTTTGCTAGGACTGTCACAGTAGCCTTCTCCCTGGTCTTCACCCCTCTCTCACCCCTACAGCCCTTCCTCCACACAGCAAATCAGATTGTGTTACTCCCCTGATAAGCACCCTCTGATGGCTTCCCCTTGGTCTTAGAATAAAACCCAAAGTCCTTGCCATGGTCCACAAGGCCTTTCACGGTCGACCCTGATAACTTCTCTCCCAGCTCTTTGTCTCCGTGTGTTCCAGCCACACTGGCCTGGTTCTGCTCTCATGTATAACTAGATTCCCCCTGCCACAGGGCCTTTGCACGCGGGATCTCAAGTCAGGTGGGGACATTCAAGTTTTGCCTAGATCATGCCCAAGTCACAAAAGTGTCTGCAGATAAAGAGAATCATTGATTTAATTTCTCTCTGGCTATATCACAAATGACTCCAAAACTTCACAGCATTGAACAATTGTACTGTTATGCTCACAGACTCTGTGAATCAGGAATTGAGATAGGGCTGCTCTCTGCGACACATTGTCAGGAGCCTCAGCTGGTTGCTAGGCTGACTTGAACGACGCGTGGCAGCACATCTGATGCCCACCCTGAACTCGGAAGTTGACCTCAGCTAAGACTGCTGATTGGAGCACCCACCCGTGGCCCCAGAGTGGGGCTGGGCGTCCTCATAGCATGGGGGCTGCTTTCATGATGTTGACGACTGAGGGGAACTGTACTCCACAAAAACGCAGCGGCATGAGGCCTCCGCCAACACCGCACGGAGGAGAGAGCCCCCCGCTGACCCACCAGATTGTGGGAAATCCTAAATTGCTGTCACTTCAAGCCACTATGTTTTGTTAATCCAACCTTTGCTAGCAGGGATGCTGTTAGATGCACCACCACAGACAATTAAAAAGAACAGACTCTTTAAGTTCACTGAACCCTGCTGGGCTCTGAGTTCTCACCAGGAATCATCCTAAGCCCTAGGAAGCCAGGGTTGCAGAATTGCGGCAGGAGGTCTTAGAAGTGCACCAGCTACTGGCCAGTAGGGCAGCACTCTTGGGAAAACTGGGGAAAAGGTCCCAGGTCCGGGCAGACAAACTAGAAAACAGTGATCCCTCTGGGTGGACATGGTCCCAGGGACACGTGGCTTGGAGAGTAGGCTGTTGAGTCTCCTAGAGCTCCATCAACCCCCTTGGCCAAATGCCTTTGTGTAGCGAACAACGCACACAATTCAGGGATTCTCTGTTTTGTGTTGCGCCTTCTTCCTCGTTAGGAGCACCTGTTCTCTTTCTGCAAGCCTCCATGTCTTCCAGAGGAGGCGGATCAACTCCCCAGCTGGAGGGAGCAAAGATTTATTGATCTGAAGCTAAACCAATCCCAGGGTCTTCTTCACTTTGCCCTCTAATGGGTCAGGTGGGCACTTAACACACTTCCGGTCAATGAGATGTGCGGGGGCTGGGAGGGCAGGGTAGAAATTGCTGGAGGGCTTTGGAATTTTTCTCTCATTCTTCAAAAGGGTCCCAAGAATGAAGCTCTTTTTGCTGCCTCATGACGAGGCTGTCTGTATGTGATACCCGGCTATGTGGCAGCCCTTTTGGGACTATGAGGGAGCCAGTCTGAGAGGAGGTGACGGCAGTTGAACATGATAGATGGAACAGGGGTCGCCGATGACACTGCTGCGCTGCTGACTTAACTAACCCCAGAGATGCCCCAACTTTGGGTCCTGTTGTAGAGGACACACAAATAGGTTATTTCAGCAAGTCAGTGACTTCTGATGCAGGAAGGAAGTGTCCTGGTACACGTAACAATATGTTCCCTGTGCCTTGGGGATCTGCTCTTGGAGCCAGCAAAGGAGGAGGGGCCAAGGGCCACCTAATATCAGTGCTTGAGTAGTGGCGAGAGGTCTGCATCGATCCCAATCCACTCGGGCAGGAAGGCTGCCTCTGGCTTAAAGAGTTTGAGGAAGGGGGAGTCCGGCAGGGTGTAATTGGCTAGGTAGATGGTCTCGCCCCCTGCGAGGTAGGCGGCCCAGATTCCAAATGTCCCAATGGTCATGATGGTGTGGTTACACTGCGTGAGCAGCGCAAAGTCCTTGGCAGGGGAGTTCTCAATGCCATTGCCCGCGAACACCACGTCCCCCCGGGAGGCGTTGATGTTCTCCCGACACCAGGTCATGCCATTGCTGGAGACCACAAAGATGGGGGAGTCGTAGCGGGCCCTGAACCAGGCCAGGGCCTGCTCCAGGTACCGCCGGTCGGCGACCACGCCCTTCCACACCCGCGGCATGACTTGCACGTAGTCCCCCCGGCGCACATGGACGCCCACAAAGGTGCTTGGCTGTCTCCCATTCACCTGCAGGCCCCTTAGAAACTTCTGGGCGTCCTCCCGCACGTGGTCGTGCAAGGTGAACTCCCGCAGGATCTCGTCTCGCAGGTGGTGGTAGAAGGTCCAGGAGCAGGGGTAGCCGGTGAGGCGCACGTACTCCCCGGGGATGTGGCGGTAGCGCTCCTCCATCCAGTCGTTCAGGTGGTAGTTCTGCCAGGGGATGCGGCCGGCCGTGCTGCCGTGCAGGACCGGGAGGCTGATCCGGAAGATGGGGGCCAGCGTGCTGTGCATCTGGGCCGGGATGAAGGCCGGCCGCCCGTTCATCTTGGCCAGGGCGTACAGGGTGGCGTACTCGCCCATCTGGTTCCCCAGGCGGCCGATGGCATTGATGGTCCACATGCCCCGGGGCAGCTGGCCCGTGGGACTTTCCGTCGCCAAAACCAGGGTCTCGATGTCCCACGTGGGGCGAATCTTCGCTAGCCTTTGGTGAATGTGAAATATGGTGGAAGCCGTGAAGACAAAGAGGACGAAGTGGGCCATGGGGAAGAAGAAAGGTGCCTGACTGCTGAGCATGGCTGTCAGGGAAGGGAGAGCAAGGAATGTTAGCTGGGGGAGAGGGTAGGGGAGGTGGGGGGGGATGTTTGGAGGCCCTAGTGGGGTTCACGAATGTGCAAGGGCAGCTGTGTGTGCAGACACTGTGTGCGTGTGTGTGCAGATGGCTTTGCTGTGTGTGTGTATCCAGGGGCGTGAACACTCAGGTGCGTGTATGGAGGTGGGTCTCCAGAGGGTGGGATGGGAGTGTGTTTACATGCAGTTCATATGCTCCTGTTTACAGGATCTGACTACACCGTGTGTATTCACATACGGCGCGTGCATTGCAAGAGCGTGTGTGCACGTGCATACGGGTGTATACATATGTGGGTGGGTGTGCATTTGCATACATTTAACGGATATGTGTACGTTGTTTCGTAGCAAAGTGTCTATCTCATGTACATACATGGGTGTGTACTCTATATAATAGTGTGGACATATATACACACACATGCACACACATTATGTATATATACCTTGTATGTTTGAATGTGGATATTTACAGCCTGAATATACATACATGGGTGTCTACAGATAGGGAGTACCCTTCTTCCTACTATTTACTGGGGATCCGGTTCCTAGAGAGGTCCATCTTTGCATGCCCTGCATACCTATATTTCCCTTGAAGGGAAATGGCCCAACCCATCCTGAATTCAACCACGTGGCTTGCCTACCCTCCCAGCCACAGCCAACCTGAGCACAAGATGAACACTGGGTTCCACGGTGGCTTTGCCATTTACTGGTCACGACAGGTTGTAGGCCGGCTCTAAAAGATGAGTTGGTCAATTCTCTCTCGAATATTTTTTACTGAAAGGTCAGAAGGCAACTGGCAGGTGAAGTTGGTTTTCTTCTCCCCGGGGTGTCCGACACCCAGTTGAATTCAACAATTCAATTTGATTTTGGCATTGTCTACCTGACTTAGTATCAGATCCGAGAGGTTGAAGACTTCAGTCCCACTTCATACACCCACTGTAAGTCCTGAGTCATTCATGCTTCTTTTGACTGGTAGGTTATAAACTGACCCCCTCCTTAGGTTTGATAGTCTCCTAGAATGGCTGGCAGAACTCAGAAAGGCATTTTACTTATGTTTACCAGTTTATGATAAAGGAGACAGATGAGGGACGCCTGGGTGGCTCAGTTGGTTAAGCCGCTGCCTTCCACTCAGGTCATGATCCCAGCATCCTGGGATCGAGTCCCACATCGGGCTCCTTGCTCAGTGGGAGCCTGCTTCTCCGTCTGCCTCTGCCTGCCACTCTGTCTGCCTGTGCTCACTCTGACAAATAAATAGATAAAATCTTAAAAAAAAAAAAAAAGGAGACAGATGAATAACCAAAAGTAGTACGTAGGTAAGATCCAGAGGGAGATTCTATCTCCCTGGACCACCTGCCTGGCTCATGGCTGTGTTTGCCAACTCAAAGGCTCTCCAGAACCCATTTAGGGCTTTTATAGAGGTTTCATTATGTAGACATGCTTGATTAAATCATCAGTCACTGGTGATTAACTTAATCTTCAGTCCTTCTCCCCTCCCCAGAGGTTGGGGGCTGGAGACAGAAGTTCGAATCTCTTCAAGCTTGGTCTTTCTGGTGACCAGACCCTGAAGCTACCTAGGGCCCTGAGAAGAGTCACCTCATCAAAGCAGAAGACACTCCTATCAGCCTATCACTCAGGAAATGCCAAGGGTTTCAGGAGCCATGTGCCAGAACTAGGGACAAAGACCAAATACCATTGTAGGAGACCACAGCAGGTGATGCTGAGAGAGGCGAGGCTAGAGTGGCTGGGACAAGTCAGACGCAGGCTGAAGCAGAGGCAGCCAGTAATGGGAGGACACCTGAAGGGATGTGCAGAGACATAAAGAGAACTGGCCAAGAAAACCCAGAGAAAATCGCCTGTATATACTTATACAGCCTGTTCTTTTCAACTCTGGTTGTAACGGAAATCAGTTCCAGGAGTGGGGTGGTTGCACTGCATGGACCTTTTGAGAACACATGGGATTTACCGTAGTATCAAAGGAGGTAGGGGGCATTGAGAATTCTCCATCCAGGCCATACGAGTTGGACCAGCGATCTGTAGAGCAAAGCTGTTAATGAAGCTCCTTTCTGGGACTCCCTGAAACAAAGTAAAGGCCCCCAAAGGATAGGGGTTTGAAGATATCGTTGTTGAGCATAATCCAAACAGTTGAAAGTGGAAGAAAGCAGGGAATGAGTTGGTGCTGACTCCCCATTACGTGGCCAGAAGCAGGTCAGGACAAGTGGAACAAGCAAGATGACTTAGGATGACTACAGTTAACACTTCATTAAAGACTGCATCCAGGAATGACCAATGGGCTTTGTCATTCCACAGGCAAGGCTGGGACAACACTTGTACCATGTTGCCACAGTCAAAAGTCCAGGTTTGGCCACTGATCAACCGTGGAACTGGAAAAATGGGAATGGGGAGATGTGGGAAGAATCAGAAGAATGAGACCCTTCTGCTTCCCTAGCTCTTCCAAAGGCTTCCCTCTTCCTTCTCTGTGCACGAGAGCTTCCCAATCATTTTTTTTTAAACTCTTCCTCATGAGCAGGGTTTAATCAAAGCATATCCTGGAGGCCGTGCGCAAAGGTAGATTCAAGATGAAAGGTTTCTGGTTATCGTGGTCCAGGGCTTGGGTTCCTGGTCAAAGTATTGACTCAAGTGGCCATTAAGAAGAGAAGAGTGGGGCTAAATCAAGCAGGCGTGACCTGGTTCAACCTGGGAAGCCTTCAGAACCTGTGCAGGTGTGGTCCTTAATGATTATAGCCAATGAAAGTTGGCACGGGACCTCATATAGCAATATCCCTGTTTCTAACTCATTGCTACCATCATCACACATTAAGATCACATGCATTATCTTTCTTTCTCTAAGATTTTATTTATTTGAGAGAAAGAGAGAGAGATAGCCGTAGAGAGCATGAGCAGGGAGGAGAGGAGAAGCAGGCTCCCCACTGAGCTGGGAACCTGACATGGGGCTCCATCCCAGGACCCCAAGATCATGACCTGAGCCCAAGGCAGACACTTCACCGAGCCACCCAGGTGCTCTGCATTATCTTTCCAGAAGAAACTCCGGTTTGTCCACTAGATGCCTGGGTTTGAGTTAAACCAACTCAGGTGGGGTCTGGGCCCCTTGGGTCATCATCGGATGTTGAGTTTAACCCCAAGTGAACTCCTGGGTGGTACAACCTCCTCTTGCCCCATTCATCTTGAATGTAAAGAGCCAGAGAGGCTGGATTTGCTGAATAAAGTTCACTTCACAACCGAGCTGATGCTCAGGATTCTGTCTTCTTGGTCAAAGTTCCAGATCAGGCCCCCTTCCTCATGGCCACCAGAAGTGAAGCTTCCGCTCCCTAAGCCCAACACGGAACACGCTTTGCTCAGGGACCACAAGGACCCATAAATCTGCAGCTACCGGCACACGCTCTGGTCACAGGCTACTGACTGCAGGCTTCCACCCTCGTTAGCTGTGGGATTCTGGACAAGTAACTCCACCTTTCTGAGGATTCAAACCACCTGGCCTGAGGACAAAACCAATACCTTTTGAGATCCTCATGTACAAAGCAAACAGCGCTGTTTTGTGGGGGCTCTGGGCCAGGCACCATTTTCACACTGGTCATGGTCATGGTCAAATCTAGCATTTAGGTCCCAGAATTTGGAGGAGTCACATGTGGAGGATGGATGAGCTGGGAACCTACAAGAGGAATGAATTTCACTCCGAGGTTGGTGAGTTCTGGGACCAGCCAGGGTAGCCCCGCACCACCAGGTGTAGACATGGTGGACTAAGCTGACTTTGGCGACTGTCCCTCAGAGGAGTGGGTGAGTATGTGCGGTTGTCCTTACCCTGAGGAATGTCCGATTTTTTTTTTTTTTATGGGGATGAGGATCTGAGATAAAGCATATGTATGACAGCAACCAAAGCATAGACTGTATCAAGGAACTACATTGTTGCTTCCCCAACCCACAGACCTTGTGTGCATTGTGTGTTGGATTGTGTCTTTCTGCAGTAGGTATATTGATGCTAACTCCTTTTTTTTTAAAAGACTTTATTATTGAGGTGCCTGGGTGGCTCAGTGGCTTAAGCCTCTGCCTTTGGCTCAGGTCATGATCTCAGGGTCCTGGGATCGAGCCCCGCATCGGGCTCTCTGCTCAGTGGGGAGCCTGCTTCTCCCTCTCTCTCTGCCTGCCTCTTGACTACTTGTGATCTCTCTCTCTCTCTATCAAGTAAATAAATAAATGAAATCTTTTTTTAAAGATTTCTTAAATCTTTAAAGATTTAAAAATCTTTTAAAAAAGATTTCATTTATTTATTTGACAGAGAGACACACAGAGAGAGAGGGAACACAAGCAGGGGGAGTGGGAGAAGAAGCAGACTTCCTCGGGCCAAGCAGGGAGCCTGATGTGGGGCTCGATCCCAGGACGCTGGGATCATGACCTGAGCTGAAGGCAGACACTTAACAACTAAGCCACCCAGGCACCCAGTTGAAGGCTAACTCCTGATACTGTAGGATAGACTTTATCTGGGGACAGGGGTCTTCAGAGAAGTGACCAAGTTAAAACGAGGTCATCTTAAGGTTGACGCTAATTCAACATGACCAGTGTCTTTATAAAAAAACTAAAACAGGGCGCTCAGTTGGCTGAGCAACTGCCTTCTGCTCAGGTCATGATCCTGGAGCCCCAGGATCAAGTTCCGCATGGGAGGGGGGGGGTCCCTGCTCAGCAAGGGGTCTGCTTCTCCATCTGACCTCCTCCCTCTCATGCTTGCTTGCTCTCATTCCCTCTCTCTCTCAAATCAGTAAATAAAATCTTAAAAAATAAATAAATAAAAGCAAAACTAAAACACAGCCCATGGTATACCGTGTGATCTGTGGGCCTCTTTACTGCCAGCTCATGATGTGTGGGCTTGGGGGACGGCTCAAGAGACCCATCTGTGTCAAGCAGATTCTCCCCCTTGGGAATCTGAAGTCGGAAGCAGAGAGAAGGTGGCTGGCTGGCGGTGGGGCTGGCGGCCAACCGGCCTATTAGGACCCACGCGCAGCCATACTAAGTAAGATGCCTTACTAAGGGCCAGAGAAATCCATGAGCACAGGGGATTCGACCTGAGAATAAAAAGAGGGTCCTGAGGGAAAAATGGAAAGTATGACTGAGCCCCTGATGGCTTCCTGGTTCCTGTTTCCTCGAGGCCACCTGCACTTACATTCCTGTCTGGGTCCCAGCACGACTCCTCATGACCCCACCCTGACTCTGGGTAGAAGGAACTGTCTGGAGGCTGGGAGGCAGGAGGAAGCTGGAGAAAGATGGGCCAGTCTGGGTAGGAGGAGGGAGTGCTCCCTGCGGAGTGGCCTCGTGCCTTCTTCCCACTTGTTCTGGGTGTTTCTCTCTTCCTTTTGCCAACTAGATTGTGAGCCTTCGAAGGGCAAGGAGTCGACCTGGCTCCTCTGTCTAGTTCCGAATTTGCCAAGCACGGGACGTGGGACAACAAGCACCAAGGGAAATGCTTGTGGGAGGGCAGAAGGATGGAGGGAAGGAAAGAGGGAAGGAGAGAGGCAAGAGATGGAAAAAGAGACAGGGAAAGAGAAAGAAAAGGAACTGGACTGAGAGGAAGACAAGCACAGAGCCAGAGAGAGCAGGAGGACAGACAGACAAAGAGAGATGGAGACACAGAGAGAAAGAGGGAGACAGGGAGAGAGACAGAACAGAAAAACCACAAGAAGAGACAGAGCGAGAGACGGAAAGAGAGGGACAGAGAAATAAAGCAGGCGGGATGGACCTGCCCGCACTCAGTCCAGCTCTAGCCCCTGTTCTATCCCAATTCTTCATCTCCAAGTGAGTCCCTGTTGGGATCATTCAGTCCCAGTCTCCTGATCACACACACAGCTCCGCGAAGGAAGGGACAGCATCAGTTTTATTCCCTCTGTGTCCCCCCCAGTCCCCAGACATGGGGCTCAACACACAGTAGGTGCACAGGAAATGGATGCAGAAGGAATGTGGGTCTGTGTCCACCTGTCAGGACCCAGTCGTGCTCCATCTGTTGCTTTTCTTCCTTGCCTCAAGTGTCTGCCAACATCTCCCTGCCTTGAATTCTCTCTCTCTCTCTCTTTTTTTTTTTTTGCTTCTGAATCCATTTCCCGGCACCAAGTAGGTAAAGAAATGAATACTGGAAGGACAACCTTCACAATCAAACCTCGTAATTTCTTTTTTTTTTTTTTTAAGATTTTATTTATTTGACAGAGAGAGATCACAAGTAGGCAGAAGCAGGCAGAGAGAGAGAAAGGGAAGCAGGCTCCCTGCTGAGCAGAGAGCCCGATGCGGGGCTCAATCCCAAGACCCTGGAATCATGACCCGAGCCAAAAGCAGAGGTTTCAACCCACTGAGCCACTCAGGCGCCCCAAACCTCGTAATTTCTGAGCTCGCCCTGAATATCCCCTGGAAATACGTTGACAGCAGACAGAAAGACAAGAAGGCTAGCTCTGTTCGGTTGAAAAGGAAGACAGAATGTTCTAGAACAGAGTCTCTCTCAGCTCCCTTGGTGGTTTCCTGCTTCCTCCCTCGGGAAGAGGGAGGGTCCACTGTTGAGGGCCTAAGGGAAACACCTGCAGACCTTGGCCCCCTGTCCTTGAGCGAGGCTGCGGGGAGAGGAGGGAGGGAGGCTTACAGGGTGAAGTAAGGCCAGTGTCTGGGAGTGGGGGCAGATCTGGAGAGAAGCTCAGGGTAATGCCGTCATCAGCCTCTGGTTGGCTATATGACCTTGACCGAGGGCCTTTACTTTTCAGTGTTGTCATCTAAAACTTGGGGCTTATTGCTTTCCAGGGCTGTGTGAGCTCAACGTGGGTTCGGAAATCCGAACTGGATGCTTAAGGGCATGGCCCACTCCTGTAGGTGGTGCGAACACGCCCATTTGAAAGCAAAGGCAAAGTGAGGCTCAGGGACTAGTCAGAGAGGGGCCTGGGGGGCAGTGCTGGGGAAAGGCCAGAGCTGGGGCGCAGAGCTGGGCACAGGGAGTCTGGGAGAGCGGCTAGCCCGCCTGACACCCGTGGGGAAGTTTGGGGGAACGCCAGCAGCCAACCAGCCAGCCTCTAGGAGAGGCTTAATGGAAAACCCGGCTGCTTGGGGCAAGTGGGAGGAACCTGCTTTCCCCACCACACCCCCTTCCTGGAAGTCAGAAAGTGCACCTCGCTATCGGTCCTGAGTACCTGCTCACGCAACTTGCGGCCAGCCAAGGAGGGAGGGGCAAGAGGAAGGGTCAAGGAGCGCCGGCAGGGCTCAGTCAGCTCCGCTCACGTCCTGATCCCGGGGTCCTGGAATCGAACCCCGTGTCTGACTCCCTGCTCAGTGGGGAGCCTACTTTTCCCTCTCCCTCGGTCCCTCGGCTCTAGCTCGTGCTCGCCCCCTCTTGCTCCATCTCAAATAAATAGGTAAAGTCTTTAAAAAAAAAAAAAAAGGAAAAAAAAAGAAAAAAAAAAGAGGAAGGGTCAAGATCCCTTCCTTCATCCGGGTCACCTGGCTGCTATCCCTTGGGCGATTGCCCCAGGCCGAGTGGAGAACAGAGAGGGGCCCCAACTTTGAAGAAGGAGCCCAGCCTCCAGGTCCCTCGGAAAAATGGGGCCACCAATATCTATCCGTAATTTCTTTTAAACTCTCGGTCTCAAGTTCCAGGCTGAACCTAGTCCTCTCCGTCCTCCCCCCGTCTGGAGCCTGGCCCCCTCCTCAACTCACCGCCCTCCCCGGGCTTCCCACCCCCATCCAGCCAGGCGTTGCCACCAAGAAATAACTCCGTGTCCCATGTCCCAAGGCCCAGTGGTCACACCCTGTGATTTGCGTGTCTGGTCCCCCCCGCACGGAAAGCCCTTCCCTACCCCTCCCCAGCCTCTCCCCCAGGTAAGCCCAGATCACCCAGTTTAGTCCCCTCCCTACCGCTCTGGGCACTGCTGGTTTGTCCTGTCCTTCCCACAGCCCGGAATTCACACTGTAAGCACTTCTCTGGGGAAGGACTTGGAACACAGAAGTGAGGCCACCACTTTTAAGCCCCCACCGTGATTCCCAGGACTGGGACGGAAGGTGTGACTCCGGAGCCAGGGATCCCTGGGGCCACGGTGGGCGGGGAGGGGGGGGAGTTGGGGACTCTGAGGACCCCTGGGTCCTGTGGTTGGGTCCTGCGTCCCTCCCGGAGATGGGGGAGCAGACCCTGAGAAGCGACCAGGAAATCAAGTACTACAGGTATGCACAGTGATTCTCAGGTAGGTTCCAGGAAACGAGTGATAGAGGGAGGGAGCTGGCAGCTTGGGGCGGGGGAGGGGAGAGTGGGGGGGTGATGGAGGACAGTGGAGGGTGATGGAGGAGGGTGGGGGTTCAGGTAACAGATCTGCTAGGAGGGAAGGTGAGGGTAGGCCAGCGGGGAGGCGGCTGGGGGGCTGGAGGCGGGTGGGGGGAGGGGCGGGCGCCTGGGCTGTGAGGGATGGACCCTCTCTTTTTGGAGACTCAGGGGAGGGCGCATCCCAGAGGGGGTAATCCCTGAGTTCAAGTATGTCCCAGCTCCTGCCCCGTGCGCGCGCGTGCTCTCGCCCGCATGCTGGGGGTCGGAGAGAGCCCCCCACCCGCACCGTCTCTCACCTGATTCTGGCTGCAGGAATTGGGGTAGCCGGCGATGTGGCTGCTCTGCGAGCAGATCAGGGTGCTTCAACCCGTGAGGTCGAGTCCTCACTCGGAAATCTGACCTTCCCAGCACTAGTGTCCGGAAAACCCCGCCCAGGATCTACCTGGCCTCCCAGGGCAGTAGGGAGGCGGGGTGAGCTGGGCTTGGGGAGCCAGGTGTGCCCGGAGCTCCGCCTCCTCCCTCCCCACGTGACCGCTGGGAAGTAGGCCAGGAAGACCCTCGGGAGGTGGAGGACTGAGGCCCCATGGGTCAGCCTCTTCCAGACTCAGCCCTGTCAGGGTCCTGCTTTTATTTATTTCGGCAACAACGGGAGCGTTTGCGTGGTCTGTCAGCCTCATTCCGTCTTCACAATTCCGTGACGTCGACCCTCTCAGGAACCCTCCAGTACTGAAGGGGATACCGAGGCACAGACAGGGGAAGTAACTTGCTCAGGGTCGCACAGCTAGGAAGTCAGAGAAGCCAGAATTCCGATCCAGGCAGGCCAGAATCTTGGAAAACACCTGGCAAATACCAACTCTTCTCACTTTCCCTGCTTTCAGAGAAGATTCTCAGGAACCCAGAATCCCGTAATAGTACATCGGGCGGGCCAGGCTATGCTGGTCTACCGCTGCCAAAATCAAATGCCAAGATCGAGGAGGAATTTTGCCGGGGAAGGAATGAGGCAGGCACCTCCAGAGCGCCCCCCCCCCAACAATCCTAACATTGAAACAGGGTCGAGCAGCCCCTCCCGGTCCCTCAGTGAGGCGACAGGAGGCTTGCTGCACCCTCCGTAAATCTCACAGTCCACGCCTTCGCTGCAAAATAAGAATCCGAATCTGATCAAGTCTCCGGGGTGAGTGCCAGCTTCCAGAAAACCAGAAAACAGGAGGATAGAGTTGCCCCGTGAATGGACACCGTGAGGGCATCAGGAGCCAAATCCAGAGTGTGGGACTGTCTACAGGACCACGTGACCCAGTTTCCCTGACTTTAGGAAAAGAAGGAAAAAATGAAGAAGCAAGGGGAGCCTTATAATATATGCAGAGCAGATCTTGGGCTCAGAAATGTATAAACGGATTTTTTAAAAATCTGTATGGATGTCTGACCAGATACCTGAAAGTCACGGGGGTGCGGGACACGTCTGTCCTATGTCATCTTTAGCAGCGTTGATCCTCAGTCACTAAGTGCTGCAGTAACATCAGACAACCACTGTGACAACTAAAAATCCCTCCTAGATGCCCAGAATGCCCCCCACCCGGGACAGTACTCCCCGATTGAGGATAGCCTTGTACCCCTTCAGCAGGACAAGCAGCTGGTAAATGCTTAGCAACCAGCTCTGGGCTGGCGGGGGTGGGGGTGGTGGGAATCCCTGCTAAGTAGTGTTTGCCAATTTCCACGGTGTAAAGACCCCCCCCCTCGCCTTCTTCCCCCCCATTCATCTTCGGTGCTTCTGATTGGGGCATGGGCACACCTCCGACATACTGGGGGTCAGGTTCTGGACAACCACCGTAAAGTAAATATCGTGGGGTGCCTGGGGAGCTCAGTTGGTCAAGCAGCTGCCTTTGGCTCAGGTCATGATCCTGGGATTCTGGGATCCAGCCTCAGTGGGGAGTCTGCTTCTTCCTCTCTGCCATAACTCTCCCCTTCTCATTCTCTTTCACATGCTCTCTCTCTCTCAAATAAATAAATAAAATCTTAATATATACAAAAACTTACTCACCTTAATTAAAAAATGCTTTATGGGGGCGCCTGAGTGGCTCAGTGGGTTAGGCCTCTGTCTTCGGCTCAGGTCATGATCTCAGGGTCCTGGGATCGAGCCCCACATCAGGCTCTCTGCTCAGTGGGGAGCCTGCTTCCCCCTCTCTCTGCCTGTCCCTCTGCCTGCTTGTGATCTCTCTCTCTGTCAAATAAATAAAATCTTTAAAAGAAAATGCTTTATGGATAGAAAAGGCTGGCCACCATCTGAGCTCTTAGTGAGTTGTAATCACTGATCGCAGATCACCAACAGAAATATAATAATAATGAGAAAGTTTGAAATATCTCAAGAGTTACCAAAATGAGACACTGAGACAGCAAGTGAACAAATGCTGTTGGAAAAATGATGCCTAGAAATTTGCTTGACCCGGGGTTGCCGCAAATCTTCAACTTGTAAAAAAAAAAAAAGAAAGAAAGAAAGAAAAGAAAAGAAAAATCACTGTATCTGCCAAGAGTCAAAAACGAAACCCAGTACAAGGTCCCACTCAAGCCTTGTTCCATCTCCATGAACACTGGTCCATGTCCTCTCGGAGTCCAGCCAGTGTGCTCAGAGGAAGTGCAGCCTGTCCTGCGGCAGAGAACCCACAGGGAGTATGCCTGACCATCCCAGCCAAGCCCCATGCTGGGGGTCGCTGCATGAGAGACCTCCCACCCCGCACAGAGACAGGAACCATGAAGTCGATCCCCGTAATTGGGAGAAATCATCAATTCTTCACTTAGAGCCATGACGTTTTTGGGATGGCTTGTTACACAGCATTAGCTATCTGAAACACTTCCCATTAAGGTGACAGGTCCCCGAGAGCCAGAAGCATGTCCGTTTTGCTCATTACTGGGTCTCCACTGTCTAGAATGTTTCCTGGCAGAGGGCAGTGCTCTGGAAAGAAAGAGGGAAGGAAGGAAAGAAGGGAGGGGGGGAGGAATGGACATAACCATGAAGGTTACCAATGGCCTCTGCCATCAGACTGGGAGCCCTCTGGGGTGGAAACCAGCGCTGAGCCACCCCTAAGCTGGTCCCTGGGCACAAAAAGGGGCGTTGGTGAATTTCCTTAAAATGTACTATGGAATTTGAATACAGCAGCTTGCACAAAAGTAGACAGACTGGTACACCAAAGCCCCATACACCCATCGCTTGATTTCCAACTTGTTGCCAGTCCGGCTTGCTCTGTCCTTTGCCTTCTCACTCAATCTGGACACATTTCAGTGTGTTCCTCTGACCGATAAGAATACTGAAAAATGGGGGCGCCTGAGTGGCTTCCGTTCAGGCCATGTCGCAAGTTCTCAGAATCGAGTCCCACGTTGGGCTCCCTGATCAATGGGGGGGTCTGCTTCTCCCTCTGCCTCTGCCTGCCGTTCCCCTTGCTTGCGCTCACTTTCTCTGTGTGTCAAATAAATAAATAAATAAAATCTTTAAAAAAAGAAGAATATTTAAAAATGTATAGCAAACCCCATGCTGTCACTGGCCCTAAAATTAAAAAATCTCGGGACGCCTGGGTGGCTCCGTCAGTGAAGCGTCTGCCTTTGGCTTAGGTCATGATCTCAGGGTCCTGGAATCGAGTCCCACATGGGGGGGGGTCCCTGCTCAGTTGGGGGCCTGCTTCCCTCTCTCTGATCCTTGCCCCTCCACTTGCGCGCTCTCTCTCTCTCTCTCTTTCTCTCTTGGGATCTCAAATAAATAATTAAAATCTTTTTTTTAAATGTTAAAAATTTTTCAAAAATTTAATTAAAAAAATAGGGGCGCAGGTGGGTTAAAGCCTCTGCCTTTGGCTCAGATCTTGATCCCAGGGTCCTGGAATCAAGCCCTGCATCGGGCTCTCTGCTCATCAGGGAGCCTGCTTCCTCATCTCTCTCTCTGCCTGCCTCTCTGCCTGCTTGTGATCTCTGTCTGTCAAATAAATAAATAGAATCTTAAAAAAATAAAAAAATTAAATTAAATTAAATAATCTCTGAACAACATATAAAACCCAATCAAATGATTTCCCTGATGGTCTCAAAACTGCCCTTTTTTTTTTTTTCCCCTTTCAACCTCCAGCAGCATACCCTCAAGCAAAAGTGGAAATAAATCCACAGGGCCCCTCCCCAGTGCCCATGCATAAGAGCGCCCTTTGCTTTGCATGTGATAATAGCTAACGCTGGTGACAGTATGTCCGTGTGCCGGGCATGGTTTATTTTTTGTAATAGTTGGTGGAGATAGAATTCACATACTATAAAATGTCAAGTGTACGAATCACTTAAAGTATTCAGTTGGGTGGTGGATGGTGGCCTGCCGAATGGTGTCTTATAAACCAGAGTAGCTACAGAAGTGGGCACTCATCTCCACATTGAGGAACATCATCCCCCCCGCCCCTTAAAAAAGCAAGCTGGAACCCGTAAGTGCTCACTAGCTAGGCGCCCACCAGTCTGCTTTCTTCCATCCCTGCGGCTCTGCCTTTTCTGGATATTTCGGACAGTGTGTGGTTCATCAGCTGGGTTGGTCCTGTTTTAATCCTCAGAGAGGGGAAGTCATTTGCCCAGGGTCACACAGCAGGAACAAAGAGGGAGCCTGCCGGCCTCAGCCTGGGGCCAACGTGTGCACTTAGTCACGGAGCTCTGGGTCTTCTCTGAGCCACTGTGCAATGCGTGTTCTGTGCTGGGCTTAGGGAGCAGACGCATCCCCTGAGCTGAAAAACAAACCTTACTCAGTAAACCCCACCTCCCTGGCTCCTCGCCTTCCAGTCCAAGGTGGCCACAGGGAATTACCCATATGGCCGGGGCGTCTGTTTCTGTTTGGGCTCAATGCCTAGTCATGACCCAAGGTGCCTAGATCCCCAGCTGGGTTGGCTCAATTCGGGAAGAGGCATTTGGTTGATGAGACTGAGTTTCTTCTGGAAAGAGCTCTCTGGCCTCTGAGGGTTTGGGGAGACTTATGAACCACAAGCAGGGTGGATGGGGCTGCTGGGTCACCCGTGGGGCGTGCCCCCCGATAGCTTCCACAACTTCCCAGATTCACACCTAGTGTTTTCCCCTTTGCTGGCCACTGGGTTCCCTATCTGACCAGGAACACAGCAGCCTGTGTCTCTAATCTGCTGGTGTGCTAAGTGAGAGGCTTGGCAGGGACTCAGCACTTGGCCAAGCTGTTCAATGGTCGGGCCTAAAACTGTATCAGTTCTCCGAGTCTGCTGTAACAATGATGCAAACTGCGAGCCTTAAAGCAGTACTAAAGAAATGGTCCCCTCCCAGCCTGGAATCGGCTGGAAGCCCGTCTCCGCCTGTCATCCCAGGGCGCACGCCCCTGGAGGGTCCATGTCACCTGCCACATGGGAGGCGAGGCCCACCCTACCCCACTGTGACCTCATCGTAACCAATTCACCTGCCAAGACTCTAATGTCCAAACAAGGACACATGCCGCAGTCCCGGGGCATTAGGATTTCCACCCATCTTTCTGGGAGACACAACTCCACCAGTAACAGACACATACGGTGTGCTCCATTGTGGTCTGGAATACAGGGCGAAGGCATTCCTGTCCTGGGCTTCCTTCTGTCCCCTGTGGCGAGGACAAGGGGGAGGTCTTTGAGCTCAGGGCAGAGCTCAGTAAATATTTGTGACTGATTTAGCGCGGTCTATGGTTAGCTCAGTTTATGGTTGACAGCAGGCCAATTTCTGCTTCGGCCTTCATGAAATAAAGGAGTCATTCACTTCCTCTTCCAAACAAGGCCCTTTAAATGCGGGGAGCAGAGTTGGGTTCCTCTTTGTCTTGAGATTAAACAGAAAGAAATATGGTCTTATTGCGCTACCCCACCCCGCTCCCGGAAGCCAGTGGCACCTGCTCTGTGCACCTGAAGGGCGGGTTCCTGGTGGGGACCTCCCTGGGAGGTAATGCGGGAGGGCGTCTGGGAGGATGGATCTTCCGAGTCTTCTTCTGCCAGGCTCCCAGAGCCCAGAGCAGGGTGGAGGAAGTTGGAGAGATGGGGGGGGGGGGGGGGGGGGGCAGGGCGTGGGGAGGGATCTGGCAGGGGAGTATTTTGTTGAAATGTGAGATACAGTTGCCATTTCCTTCTGTACTTTGATATTGTTGCAATGGGCAGAGAGTCAGAGGTCACGGCTCAGGTTCCTCTACCCTTCCAGCTTGTGTCTCTCTGAAAGGGACAATTGGGGAAAAGATCCTGACTCAGGTAAATTACCGTTGTTATGCCCGAGTTTTCGTGTCCGAGAGACCACCAAGGAGCCGACACCGATGCAATCACACGAGGGTTTATTTAACAAGCTTAAGCTTGGGCCCAAGTATACCCGACGCAGCGGAGTAGGGACTTGGACCCCGAGCTTAGTTAAGGCAGGGGTATTTATGGGTTCTTATTACTAAAGCAGGGTGGGGATTCCTGTTACTAAAGCAGGGTGAGGGTTTCTGGAACTAAAGTAAAGTAGGGGAAAGTTCAGCCCTTGGTCACAGGGGCCTGAGATGGCTGCCGAAGCTAAGAGGGCTGTACTTAGGCTAAGGCTAAACCTGAGGTGGGATGGCCTTAATTTTTCTCGGCCTCCACACCCTGTGGAGGAGGGACTCGGCCTTGAGAGGAGGGAGGAAAAGCAGACGGGAAGTAAAGCCAGTCTGATTCTAGGCTTGTGCCCCCACAAAAATGCCCATGTGGAGGTCTTAACCCCCAGCCCCCCAGAATGTGACCTTATTTGGAGACAGGATCTTTAGGTAGACGATGACATTAAAATGAGGGTGTTAAGTGGGGACCAGAATCCTGGATGACTGGTGTCCTAAAAAGAGGAGGAAATTGGGGGACACAAATTTTTTCTCCAATAGAGGGGAGACAATGGTCATCGCAAGCCAGGAGAGGGCCTGGGAACAGATCCTCCCTTACAGCCTCAGGAGGGACCAACGCTCCCGACGATGATTCTGATTTCCAGCCCCCTGAGGCATCAGGCGATCAATGTCTGTGGTTTAAGCCCCCATCGGTGGTACCTTGTTTTGGTGGCCCCCGGGGCCCCCAGTGATACCCACCCGCCCTGACCCTGTGCACTCTCGGCATGCATGCCCTGGTGTGTTCCCTCCCACAGCGGACCAGGGCTGTTCTGGGTGATGTATAGGATATGACAGACGTGACCGTGTGTGACCAAGGCAGGCTCGGCTCTGAAGGCATGGCGGTTTCCACCTTGGTCTCTTGGATTTCTCACTCAGGAGGCATCCAGCCGCTGTTGGAAGGCTTACGCTGCCCCATGTCACGAGGACCAGACCATCCAGCTAAACAGAACCTTCCTCCCTGCTCTCCTCCCCTTCCTTCCAGACCCTTCTGGTGCTTTCTCCAGGATCCCCCCTACCCTCAGCCCCAGACCATGCGGACTCCATCAGGACTTCAGGAAGTAAACTGGGGTCAAAATGACTTTGGGGAGATACAACATTACTGATACGTGGAAACAAAGGTTCTCGACCTCAGAAGCATGCCAGGAAATGGGCATAAGGAAGACACTTGGAAAGTGCGTAAGACTGGAAAGGGATGGGTCAGAAATGTTCTCAAAACCAGAGTGCTTGCTCATGCTCAGTGACAATTTTCAATGAGCATAAATGACTGTATGTTAAGATTTTGGAGGGGGTGCTCTTAGGTGGCTCAGTCGGTTTAATGTCTGCCTTCGGCTCAGGTCATGATCCCGGGGTTCTGGGATCGAGTCCTGCATGGGGGGGGGGTCCCTGCTCAGCGGGGAGCCTGCTTCTCCCCAACCGCCTCCCGTGCCGCTCTCCCTCCTTGTGCTCTCTCATTCTGACAAATAAATAAAATCTTTAAAAACAAAGAAGTTTTTTTTTTTTTAATATCCAAAAAGGAGTATTACACAAAGAAAAATACCGGTATATCCATAATGCCAAATGCACTGCACACAGGAAAACCCGTATTGTGATCCCCTGATCCAACTCTTATCCACACAGGGGTTTCTCAGAGGGACTCTGTGCCCTTGGGGCCTAGGCAGTGCCAAGGGGTGAGGCTTTCTGTCTGCAGCTGGCTGCTGACATGGCCAGACTTCCGTCTTTTGGGAACCCTGGGTTCCACCAGTCACTCCTAGGACCTTACACTCTGGGTGTCCTTGCTGCTGCGGGCGGAGTGGTGTGGAGTCCTTCCTGAGTCCCACGTGCACCCCCATTTCCAGGGACCTCACCTCCCCACCAAGGGCACCTCCCCGAGATTCATCATCTCAAATCGTGGGTTCCTCCCTTCCACATTAAGGCCCCTAGGAAACCCCAAATCTGATTCTTGGCTGGCTCTCCTTGACTGGAGGGGAGGAACGGCTTCACTGAACCCTCCCAGGAGGCAGGGGCATTGGACTTAACTCCCAAAGCCACCGACAAGGAGAGGGCAAAAAATAGGTTTCCATGTTAAACCCTCTGGAAAGTTCGGGGTGCGCCACCCACATGCCTGTGGTTGGCAGGCACTTCCCCGGCCTTCCCAAAACACTAAATGAACTTGTGGCAGGAGCCTCGGAGGGAAGTTCTGGATTAGGTCCGCTCGGCAGGGGGCACGCTAAGGCCCAGAGAGGTTAAGTTACTAGTTCCAGGTCGCCCAGCTGGGAGGCCTCAGGGCCTGGAGTTCTCTCTGGCCCGGCCCAGGTCAGCGGAGATGCCCACCCACTGGGGCAAGAAGGCTGCTTGGGGCTTGAAGATCCAGCGGAAGTGGGAGCCCGGCAGGGTGAAATTGGCCAGGTAGACGGTGTCCCCGCCCACTAGGTAGGCAGCCCAAATCCCGAACGTGCCCACCGTGATAACGCTGTGGTTACACTGAGTGAGCAGCGCAAAGTCCCTGGCAGGGGAGCCCTGAAGGCCGTTGCCCGCGAACACTACATCCCCCCGGGAGGTGTCGATGTTCTGTCGACACCAGGCCATGTCGTCGCTGGTGACCACGAAGACTGGGGAGCGGTGGCGGGCCCGGAACCAGGCCAGGGCCTGGCGCAGGTAGCCCCGGTCGGCGACCACGCCCTTCCACACCCGCGGCATGACTTGCACGTAGTCCCCCCGGCGCACATGGACGCCCACAAAGGTGCTTGGCTGTCTCCCATTCACCTGCAGGCCCCTTAGAAACTTCTGGGCGTCCTCCCGCACGTGGTCGTGCAAAGTGAACTCCCGCAGGATCTCGTCTCGCAGGTGGTGGTAGAAGGTCCAGGAGCAGGGGTAGCCGGTGAGGCGCACGTACTCCCCGGGGATGTGGCGGTAGCGCTCCTCCATCCAGTCGTTCAGGTGGTAGCTCTGCCAGGGGATGCGGCCGGCCGTGCTGCCGTGCAGGACCGGGAGGCTGATCCGGAAGATGGGGGCCAGCGTGCTGTGCATCTGGGCCGGGATGAAGGCCGGCCGCCCGTTCATCTTGGCCAGGGCGTACAGGGTGGCGTACTCGCCCATCTGGTTCCCCAGGCGGCCTTTGGCCGTGATGGTGAACATGCCCCCGGAGGGCAGGGGTCCGGGGAGCAGGACCACGCGGCCTGAGTAGGCCCACGGGGCAGGCACCAGGGCCAGGCGGTGGTGGCAGTGGAAGATGGTGGACACCACCAAGAGGATGAAGAGGAAGTAGATGGTGGAGACAGAAGGGCAGGTGGCCCGGAATCCCAGGATGGCTGGGGTAGGGGAAGGGAGCAAAGGGGAAACGGGAAGTGGTCAGGAGCAACAGCTAGGGCCGCCCGAGTCTTATTCACCCCCAAATCATACATTCCTGTGCTCAACTCCTCCAAGCAAGTCCAGGGGCGTCCAGTGTGTCTTGACCCGCTTTCTGCTCCACCCTCTACCTGTGGTTTCCCCATGGCTGCAGTTCGGGAGTCTCGTGGGCCCGGACAGAAGGAAGCACTGGGTGGCAGGACCCCCACTCTTCACGCTCTGCCTTCTGCCCCAGCCCTCTCCAGGAGCCCCACTGCTCGCTCTGGCCAGCCCCCTTAAATGGCAGGGTTCTGTGGGCCTTGCCTCAGCTCTCCTCCTGCTCCAATATTCCAGGGCTCCTGACTTTAGTAATCTGACCCTTTGGGATATCTGAACACTTATGGGCCCTCCTCAAATGTCCCTTGTTTAATGTGGGTCCCCAGTGAGGTCGGCTGGGTCTTCCACAGGAGGGCTAAAGTAGGACATCACCTGCCCTTCTCTGGCAGGGCACCATAAATGCCCTGCCCGCTGCTTTAGTTGCCAAAAAACGAGCCCCTCTTCTCTCTGGGCTGGTGACTGCTCTGTCCCAATCCTCATCACGCTGTCCGCTCAGCTCAGGTCCCACTGGGGGCCAGCTTTCAAGGCTGGCCAGGTCCCAAAGCCAGAGCAGGTGAGCTGAGCAGGGACTGGAGCCTGGGCCACTGGAGAAGCAGCAGCGACTCAGGACCAATGTACCCACCGCCCAGGGCCGCCTCCGTGGTGCACAACCGGGCAGTGGTCCACGGCCTGCACTCACAAGGACCTACGCTTCACCCGGCTGTCAACTGAACAAGCGGCTTCTGATCTCGGGGTCGCCGAGTTTGAGCCGCATGCTGGGGGTAGAGTTTACTTTAAAAAAAATGGGGGCCTGCACTTGGTTTAATGCTCTGCTTTCATCAGGTAGAAATTATCAGTACATCCAAATAAGGGATCCCATGTTTTCACTCCCCGCTAGGCTCTGCAAACCCGGCCGCTAGTTCGGCTGTCACCTTCTGTCCTTGAGTCTCAAGAGCGCCCTCTCCTGGCTTCTTGTCAGGAAAGTCCCAGAAAACCAGGGCATCTGGGCTGCGGCCCCCGGACCCCAGGCCGCGATTCCTTACCAGCCAGCCACCTTCCTGAAGACTGGTGGCCAACCCCCATCTGAACTGAACTCGTGTGGGGACAAAATGGGGCCTGAAGCGACCTGCGGCTCCTTGACTTAATGTGATGCCCGTGCGTTCTGCTGCACAAACCGTTAATGTTCAATTATGGGACGCTGCCCAGACCCCGCACCCCGCTGTGGGGCCGATGGCGAGTTTCTGAACCCCGTCTGGTCCAAAAGTTTCAGGTATGAGACTGTAGGCCTGTGTTCACTCATCTAGACTTCGTGGTCTCCCCTGGGGAAGGCGCATTGTTAGGGTCATTTAACAGATGAGGACACTAAGGCACAGAGAGGTTAAGAAACCTGCCAGAAGTCACACAGCTAGGAAAGAGGGAGCAATGGATCTGAACCTCAGAAATCTGTGCTCTCCATTGCTGTCCTCGATTTTTCGAGTCTTCCGGAGGGAGAGCTCTCAGATGCACGCTCTCCGTCCAGTTATACGCAGAGTACGACCTGCCCTGCCTCTTGGGACCTCTTATTTCTGGGCCACCGAGGTAGGGATGAAAGACCTCTGAAAGCCCAGAGCTGTGGGTCCCTCCTGGCTGAGCCACCATGGAGCTGTGCCCCAGGGAGATCCTGCTTCCTCCTCTCTGGGGCACTGTGAGGGGAAAGGTGCCCAATCCTGGAGGAGCTCCTCCCCCTCCAAAAAAAAAAAAAAGTTTCTTTCCCAACTTGGAGAATTCTTTCTGCTCAGCTCCTGCGGCTGCTTCTGCCTCCCCCCCCCCCCGCACAGCCCCCCCCAAGGTACCTTGGGGGTAATCGCGTCAAGCAGCTCAGGCTGCAGAAAAACAAGAGTGAGGAAGAAGCCTCCCTCCAGGTCACATTAGCTTAAGAAACTTCTTGTCCCCAGGAGGGGAGGAAAATAAAGGGAGACCCAAACCTTCTGGACTTTTCTCTGGCCATTAAGTCCGCTCGGGTCGCTCCTACCTTGACGATGCTTGGGTGGCTTCCCCTCCCCGCTTTCAGGCCTCAGCCCAAATGTCCCCTCCAGAACCCTGCCCTGCCCGCACTTTCCTGCCCGGTTTGCTCCGAAGTGCCTGTCACCTTCTGCCATTCTCTAGAACAGAATTACTTACTGCTTCTCCACAGCGATCTCTCCTCTAGATTGTAAGCCTGACAAGGACGGGGAGGGGGGTTTGTGGATGAGTTCGCTGGGGTGCAGGCACATAGGAGGGAGGGAGCCTTGCGGTCCGGTGGCTCACACTGCCTGTCTCCGCCTGTCCCCAGGCACCCCTACGCCCCCTCTTGCAGCCAACCTCTCCCCACAGCCTAATTTCAAAACTGATGCCTCTGTCCCAGCTCCTACCCAGGCTTGTCCCTCCACGGTGGTGCAAGGGGGTCCCCAGGAACCAGAATCACAGACCGTCCTTGCTGCGCCCAACCCCAGAACAGGCTCCTGACAGAAGGAGGGGGGTCCCAAATCCCTATCAGGCTTGGGTCCACACAGCACCACAATAAACCAGTAAATGTAATAGTAAACATACGCAAAGCCACTGCAGCACATATCTGGGTCCTCAGCTCCCGAGGGCTTCTCTCAGAGGAGTGGAAAGCGTTATTTTTCTAGTCAAAACCAGTGGGTCTGTAATGGTTGACACATTTGCATGAAAATCTCATGACTGAAGTGTTAAGGCCATGGGGAGGCTGTCTTTGAGCTCTGTCCCTGTCCCCCTCAGGGTCCCTGCTCTCTTCCTCCAACACCAGAGGAGGGAGGCCCAGGGAGTCTCACCTCCTCACTTCCTTCCCTAATGTCTTACAAAGCAGCCCAATTCTTTGGGTTTTCCTATGGCCGCCCAGATCTTGCCAAAAGGAAAGCGACTCACCTTAAAGCTCAGTTTACCTACAGAGGACAGAAGGGTCCAGAAGGGAGGAGGGGCTGGCTGGGGGTCCCACCGCCTAGCAGATCAGCCCCTACCCCTCCTGATGGGAGGGATGGACTGAACCACCATGTGGTGAGCTGAGCCCAGCCAACAGCCTCCAGTAGCTGGGAGCCATGGGGAGTCGGTGGGACAGAGGTCTGAGGGTGAGGGCGGTGGGGACCCTGGACCCGGGAAGCTCATGGAGCCACTGTCCCATCCTACCTGTCTTGAGCCTCCTGGGCCAGCGTGCTCTGAGCTGCCTGGTTTCAGGCCCCCCTGGGGTGACATCCCTCATGTCCCACACAGTCCTGGGTGGCGTGGCTGGATGGGGTCCCTGCGGGGAAAGCATGGCTGTGGTTGGCGAGGGGACTTGGGCGGGGGGGGGGGGGGAGTGGTGGTGGTGTTGGATTCTGCGGGCTCTGCTCAGAGCTCCCGCCCAGAACCCCCACTAGCCTGGGGCCTGACAACAGCCACTCGGCAGTCACTCCTGAGAGCCCACACCGCACCGCCAAGCTCCTACAGGAGGGAAGAACACCACGTGAGGAGCTAACTACAGCGGACACTCTCTTCTTGGGTGCAGGTTTGGCCAATGTCAGGGGCAAAGGGCAGGGTGCGTGCAAAAAAAGCCAGGGAAAAGGAGCCTGGGTCCCAGATGGACCCCTTCACTGCCCAGGCATGGGGGCCTAATGGTGGGTCTGGTGGGAGCACAGCTAGACTGCGTTCCTTAAAGGGGGGAAGGGAGTGGGCTCTGGCTCCCAGAGGGGTAGGGGCTGGGGGCTGGACATCTGAGTCCCCAGATGGGCAAGGGCTGGCTTCCGGATCCCCCGGGAATGCCAGGGGACTTGCGGCCTGGCTGTCCGAGGTGCTAAGGGCCAGAAAACGGTACCCCGTGAACCACCCAGGCAAGAAAGGAGAGGTAGGAGATGGGGGCTCGGTCCTTAACGAGGCTGGCGCTAAGGGACAAGGTGAATGCCAGCGCCGCATGGGCGCAAAATGGCGCCAGGCTCATCGGGAGGGGCGGCGGAGGGTGAGGCCCATTATCTGGGGCCCAGGGGTGGGGGGGTGGCGGTCTCTGCACATGGTAACCACAGTGGGGATACTAGAGGCTATGAAATCAGGTCCAGGGCGTTTGTGACCCCAGCCGCACCCCCAGATGCCTCAGAGACTCCCGGGAGCAAGCCAGGGGCACGGACACTGGGGCCCAGAAATGCTCCAAAGTCCCCAAACCTGAGGCAGTTCGTCATTAGGGTCTGCTGGCCCCAGAAGGGGAAAACCGGGTGCGGGGGTGCTTTCCACACCAAGCCCTCCCTAGCCCTTGCCATCCTAGGGTCTGGACTTCAGGCACCCCTCAGACACTATGCCACTGGCCCTGCTTCTCTTTCCGCCCCCACCCCCGCCAGCACCTGCCACCTCCACGTCTGTTAGACCTTCTAATCTGGGGACCTTAGGGTGGGTAGAGAATGTGGGGGCTCCACTCTCCTGACCCTGAGGCCTAGGATGATAGGCGGGAGTGGGGAGGGCTGAGATTATCAGAAAGTCTTCTGAAATCCAAGGATAGGGTCCTCCCACTCTGAATTCTAAGGGGGACTCAGACATCTGCTTTCCTAACCCCCTTTCTTCAGCTTCTGGGTGACCCAGGCTTCCAGTCCCCTGCGTGAACCCCTCCAGTTCCTTAGCACACAGTTCTCTGGGCTTTGCACCTGGGTGGGAAAGGGTTAAGGCCGGGTGGAGTCTAGGGGTGGGTGGCAGCGAGGAGGCGGCTGGGTTGTTTGGCGATAATCCCCCTCCGTGCCCTGGGTGTGGAGAACAAGGTTAGGGCCCCACGTGGGAAAGGGCCTCTGCTCTGATCCTCGTGGGCCAAGGGCCTGGCCTCCAGCTTCTGATGCCCCGCCGAGCCCCTCCCCCGCTTCCCCACCTCCCTACTGGCCAAGCTTGGAGGCCCTCCGTGTCTCCGAGCCCTCAGGTCTGCCTGTCTGTCTGTCCTGGCCCCGGCCTCTCTGAGACTCCATATCCCCCATTCCCTGTGGAGCTGGGTGTCCAGCCGCAACCCATCTGGACCTTCCAGCCTCCCTTTATGTCCGGTCCTCTATCCTCATGCTTCCTTCTCTGCACCTGGCCCTTCCCTTAGACTTGGGTCCCCTCCTCTCCGTCTTTGTTGTCTGTGCCTCTGTCCCTTTCTCTATTTCTTTGTTTCTAAGCTTCATCAGTATCCAAGTCCCCCTCCCCCCCTTGTGGTCTCTCTAGGTTTCCCCATCTGTCCCCACCCCTTGCCATCTCCCCAGGGCCCCCACCCCTTGACACTGACGATAGCTCTGGGGTGTTAAGCTACGGATTAGTTCAGGCAAAATTCTCAATTTTGCTTGCGTTCTTTTCCCTTTGGGTTATGTAAACAGTAATTCTCCCCAGATGGAACTATTTTCCTCGCTTAGCAGCAGCCGGGGAGGGGGCTCAGGCAGGGCAGGGGGTGGAATGCAGGGGGTTCCTCAGAGAGCCTGGGGCGGGGGAGCAGGGTGGAGACTGACCCATGAGGGCAGCCTGAGGCCCTCAGCCTGGTCCCTCTTCTCCTCTCCAGGTACGTGCTCTCTAGGACCATGTCCGTGACCTTTGCACTCTTGCTCCTCCTGGGCCAGGCTGCCACCGCAGACCCATGTTACCATCCCGGTGGCCGTCCGCGCTTCTGCCTCCCACCAGTGACCCGGCTGGCTGGCATGGCGGCCTCCTGTCCCCAGGCCTGTGCCCTCTCCCTGGGGGCGGACCTCAGCCCCCGGGCCACCTGCAATGGCAGTCTAACTCTGGCCCTGGGTGGCCCCTTCCTCCTGACATCTGTCAGCCTGCGCTTCTGCACCCCAGGATCCCCGGCCCTGGTCCTGTCCGCTGCCTGGGCTGCAGGAGGTCCCTGGAGATCGCTGTGGCGCAGACCCGCCTGGCCCGGGGCCTTGGGAGGCCCCGAGAAGGTGACCTTCCGAGCCTCGCCAGGCCCTAAATCCAGCGTCCTGGTCAGTCACCTCCATGTGGAGTTCGGGGGCCGGGCGGGGCTGATGGCAGCTGGAGTTCGGGGGCGCTGCCAATGCCATGGCCACGCAGCCCGCTGTGCCGCCCGTGCCCAGCCCCCCCGCTGTCGCTGCCGCCACCACACCGCCGGCCCAGGGTGCGAGAGCTGCCGCCCGTCCCATCGAGACTGGCCCTGGCGGCCTGCCACGCCCTGGCACCCCCACCCTTGCCTGCGTGAGTCCTGGGGCCCCCTCTTCCTGCCTTCACCCACTCCCACCCCGCCCCCACCCTCTAGGGGCTGGTCCCTGGTCCCTACAGGCAGTGTGCTGTCTCCCTCCAGAAAGCTCCTTGCTCTTTGCTTCACCCCTGCTGATCCTGAGCCCTCCCCCACCGCCCCTGCCCTACAGCCTCCCACCTGTGCTCCCCCTGCCTGTCCTGGTCCTTGCTGCCCCGACTTCCAGCTGCCCCATAAGGGGCTCCAGCCTCTGGCCCACTTGCCATTACGAAGCTGCTGCTGCTATGAATAGCATTTCCTGAGTGAGCGCAGGTACAGGGCGGTTGGACCTTTCCTGACTCCTCAGACCCACCACAGCGGTTAAGTCCAAACTGAGGCACCACCTGCTGTGTACCAGGCGGGGTTTCTCATCACGTCCATTTTACAGACTAGGAGACTGAGTTTAGGGGGAGAAGTCCCTCGCACAAGGACACACAGCTAGTAAGTGGCAGATCCAAACCCGAGCTCAGAGCTCAGGGGTCTTGGCTTGTCCCTGCCAAGCTCCCATCAGGGGCAACCTTGCTAGGTGCTCTAGAGTGACACATAGGCCCATGGGCTTGGCAGTGAGCCAGCCAGCCTGGGCTCAAATCCCAGTTCCTCTGCTTCCGGGCTGTGTGACCACAGGCAAGTGACTTGACCTCTCTGGGCCTCCACTTCCTTCTCAACTGTAATGTAGGGACGGTGACAGCATTTCTTTCATAGGCTGTAGTGCAAATCCAATGGGTCGATATGCATAAAGTCCTTAGAATAAAGCTGGGTATGGCACCTGGCACCGAAGAAGAGCTCGCTGCATACCTGCCAATGTTACCGGTCCCCAGATGAAGGAGGGGGGCCCCCAGAGGAGAGGCATCGTTTGCCCTCAGGCTCTGTGCCAGCAAGGGGTAGTGCTGGGTCTAGACTCAGGGAGACAAAACTTCTCCATAGCGAGCAATCCCCTAGGCCATCCAGGTAGACCAGAGCTCCTGAGGCCCGCTCCACGCTCCACTCCCTCTCCCCTCCACAGTGTTTCCAGACCCCGAGCTTCTGGAGCCTGGCCCTTCCCCATTGCTCCAGCAACCCCTCCTCAGAAACAGCCCTCCTCCCTGCACCGCCAGCCCGCGGGCCTGGCTAGAGGGTCTGAGTGCGTTATGAGGCCTTGGGAAGTAAATCTACTCTACCAACAGAGACAGACAGACAGACACACATCCCTCCTCTCTCCACCCTCCAATTCTTTGCCCATCCCTGCTCTCTTTCTTCCTGCCATGTTGTGTGGAGTAACTTAGATCCTGCCCCACTGTCCTTGGCTCCCCAATACGTCCTCCTCCCCATCGAGGTCTTGCTAGACCCTCTGCTCCCACCACTTCTGGCCCACTCCCACCAGCCAGATCTGAGACCCCTGCGGGGTGGGGGTGTGGGGGGGAGGGGAGACTTACATTGCCTGGGGGTAGGATTTGGTTCATCCTGGGCCCCGAAAAGGCCTGGGAGCTGGGGAGGCTGTCCCTCTGAGGATCACCACGTTGCCCCAGGCTGAGCATGGCCTTGGCTGCTGCACCTGGGTAAGAAGCCAACAGTGTTGTGACAAAGCAGAGTCTGGGCAGATGGGGTGGGACTAAGTCCTGTGGCCGAGCTGCCAGCTTTATGGGGCCCAGTGTTCTGAACCCCTTCCAGCCATGTGAGTCTTCCGGATGGAACTGAGTTGAAGTCTTCACCCTCAGGTCAGAAAGAACCCAAAGCCTGATTCTTCCCACTGATAACCCGAAGAGTACTCTGGCCCACGGCAACCCTGGGAGAGAGGGGCTAAAATCCCCACTGCATGGGAGGAAACCAAGGTTTAGGGAAGCGAGTCATTTCTTTCCTGCAGCTGCCCCTCTGTGTTGTGGGCACCTGCCAGTCCAGGCCTCCCAAACCCCTCAGGGGTCAAAAACTCCTTACACCTCTCCATGAGCGGTCCATGAACCCCCTCCTGTGGCCCCTCACTCAGAAACGCTGGCTAGAAATACAGATCCCCGGGTGCAGCTGAAGGCCTGGGGTGTGCCCTGGAAGATGTGGTTTCTTCTTAACATTTCCTGGTAACTCTAAGAAGTAGGAAGGTTTGAGAGCCACGGCCTCACTGATCAGCGCTCCCCAGGAACACACACACACACACACGCACGCACACACACACACACAATCCTCATGCCACCATGGGCCACACTGGAGCACGGCTGCCAAGAGCTCTGGGTTCTGAGCCTGCCTCTGACCGCCCCCCAGCTGTGTTACTTTGGGCAGATGACTTTGCCTCTCTGTGCCTCTGCTTTTGCATCAGTAAGTTGGGGTTGATGACAGCACGGGCCTCACAGAGCCGCTCTGAGAATGAAACATGCTGATCACGGATGCGCATGCTCTGTGTCAAAGGCCCTGGGGCAAGCCCTTTATATCCTTTTGGTTTCCTTTAAACCGTGCAAGGGGATGCTGTAACTGGTGTCTTACAGCGGAGGAGGCCGAGCTGTAGAAAGAAGTCACTTGCACTTGCACACGAGCACAGTGGGGAGCAGACATGCAGGGGGGCTGACCCCATAGCCCGAGCCCCCCCCCCCCCCCCCCGGGGGGGGGGCCGCCCCCCCCCCCCCCCCCCCCCCCCCCCCCCGGGAGCGGAGTGGCCGCTCCTCCCTAAGCTCCTAGTTTCACACAGACTTTGGGCCCTCAGGCTCACCCACTCCAGTCCAGTGTGCCCCCCTTCAAGATGAGAATGAGGCGGGTCTGGGACCCAGACAACCTCCTCATTGCAGGGATGCGTTATTTCCTCTCCTGAGGGCGGGGGGTGGGGGGGGACCTGGGGACGGGGACAGAAGGCAGGAGCCTGAGGCACCTGTCACCACCTGTCTCTAGCCTGCTCCTGCAACCAGCATGCCCGACGCTGCAGGTTCAACTCAGAGCTCTTCCGGCTGTCCGGTGGCCGGAGTGGGGGCGTTTGTGAGAGATGCCGCCACCACACGGCCGGGCGGCACTGCCACTACTGCCGGCTGGGATTCTGGAGGGACCCCAGCCAGCCTATCACCAGCCGCAAGGCCTGCAGGGGTGAGTGCGGCCTGGAGCCGGGCCTAGAGCGAAAGGAGGTGGCGGGGGGGGGGGGGGGGGGGGGGGG